ACACAGAAAATAATGTGGGGAAGGCAGGAGTAGGGTGGGATTGGGGAGGAGGGGATCAGTGTGGGGGAAAGGGGAGGGGAACATGTGTAATACATTCAACAATAAAGATAAGTTAAAAAAAAAAAATCCCCAAATTTCAGTGGCTTAACAACAAAAGTTCATTTTTGTTCATGCAAAGTCTACTATGAGTCTGGGTGACTCTCCAAGGACAGTATCCTTCATATGTCAGCCCACATTCTAAGCTGCTTTGATTCTATGGTATCTCTGTAACACGTCTCCATGATCACCATGGCAGAGCAAGAGAGTTGGGTCGTTGAGCACTGGCAAGTAAATGCTTGTACCTGAAAGCAATACATGTTACTTCAGCTTACATTTTATTGGTCAAAGCAAGTCACTACCATCTCCAACCTCAAGAAGAAAATGCAATCTTCTCATATGCTTGGAAGTAGAATAAAATAAGATTTTAGTAAATGGCGTTACTGTTTCCAACAAATATAAACACTAAAAAACACTTAGATCAACTACCCCATCTTATACCATCAACTACATACATATTAGTAGTTGTTATTTTAGTGTCTGTTATTGTAGGAAGGAAGTGACACAATGAAATCACTGACGATTTAATTAATTTTGCTTCTTACTAATCTTAACAGCATCTACATACATTGGAAAGAGGTATACATAAATGCATGCGGCATAGTTTATTTCTGTATTCGGGCAAAATGTACAAACGTATTTGCAAATCCCTTTAATAACATTCTCAAATATCACCATTTATTTATTTATTGCTCTAGAGATTGAGGACCCACAGAAACATGTGACTGACCCAGTCCCTTTAGACTTAAAGCCTATTGTCATCATGTTTTACACCACGTATAAACAAGCCTCACTCTGACTGTCCCCAGCAATTGCCCCACAATAATTTCTATTCCTCTCTTGATTATTGTAATTGTCACCAGCCATTGTGTCGGTGGTAGTCATTAGCATCAAATTGAAGTTTAAGATGACAATATTATCATAAAATTGATTTCAACCAGAAGAAGACGTAGGAACAGGAAATTGATTGATTTATAAGGCAATCTTCTCCCTCATGTTCTGATGACATCTTTTCATATCCCCTCCTCAATCTTATCTCAGTAACTCTGCGCCTTCTTCTCAAAGCTTCCGTCTTTCCTGTTCTGCTGATTCCCCACTTCAGTCTACAGTCATGATGAAATCTGTTCTGGCCTAACAACAAAAATCTCTTTACTTTGTGTCCTTTTATGCTACTACCCCTTCCATTTTTTTTCTCCTTCAAAGCCTAACACTTAGTCTTTTCTCTGCTGAAAGCATAATATTCTTTTTCATTTCATTATTTTTATCAAATTCATTTATGTCTATATTTTACAAAGGCAAATAATACCATAAAGCTTAAAACCATGGTGATACTGAAAATGTTTAACAGTTGGTTGGGCATAGATACTGGCCAGTCAGATAAGGTTAACCAAATACCCTTACTTACATGAAAGACGCCTCTGTCAATCCCCCGCTCACTCCTGGTGTTCTCTGTCCAGTGACAACCACTTTCAAATCTATGCTGTTTCTTTTACTATTTACATCAGATTCCTTAATACCATGCTCATACAACCATTTCTTTTAACCAATCCCCTGATTTTTAGCCACTCCATCTTTTTCAGAGCTATTAGCTGCCCTAGTTTCTAAGCTTTCCTGGGGGTGAATTCGCTTTATTATTATTATCATTATTATTATTAGCCTTCCCTTATTATGCTTGGGTTTCGGTTCCCTCTGGTCTGCTAAATCCCTTATCATCAGCTCATTTCCGGCTTCCAACATTTTGATAACCCAGGTCTGGTTTCTGCCTCTACCACTCAGCTAAACCTACTTCACTGAAGGATCCCACTGACCTTTGCTCATCAGATTCAATGACCTGTTGTCAGTCTTCGTCCTCTGAAGCTCTCTGTGACAGTAGACCACTGAGCAAGGGCAGCGCGGTCTCCGGCTTTCTCCACATCTTCAGCTCCTTAAATGTAAAATTTCCTCCACATTCTGTCTTTGTTTTTTGTTTTCCACCATTCACTCCATGAGTACCAGGCCCACCAGGCCCCTGAAGCGAGTCTCAGCGAGGAGAATGGAGGTTGTTAACGAAAATGAAGGTTAGAGTTTCAATGATTACACAGGGCTGGACTTCGTAATTGTTGTTATATGATTGTTCCTGGGACTGAAAGTCTTTTCATGTTTTTGTTTTTGCTCTAATCTAAAGGTGACTGAAAAGTTATCACACTTGCTCAACTTTCTATCCAAATAGCAAGGAAAAATGAGACCTTACAGGGGTTTAAAGGGATAAAGACAGGAGTCGAGTTGATTTCTCCTTGCATCTAATTAAAATACCACTGTTCCAATCTAATGGTGATACATAAAGGCCGGCAGTCTCTGCTGTCAGAGCGCTTACATAGGAGCTAAGTAACTAAACATTTCAACTCTAATAGGTGGTACATGGAACCCTGGAAAGTATGTAACTGGTAGATTTCATTCTAAGTCAGTGTGACAAAAGCCAATGTAGTGAAGGACCAATATGTCCAATTTTCTTGTTTCTATGGCTATTTAATAAAGTTTATTGAAAAGCACATCGGATAAGATGACTTTCACAGCTTTTGCAAATGTTTGCATGGTTTTACCTGACAGGGTTTTATTGGTGTTCATAATAGCACTTGGAGATTGTTTGGTTTGTTTCTACCCCAGCCGGCTGTTACCACAGCTGCGGGGAGACTAGAGGTAGGATGCCCATGCTCCAGAGGGGCGACCATGACACAAAGAGAGACTACTGGCTTTCCACACTGACTTTTGACCCGATTGGCCTTTTCCAGCCCTCATCATATTTCTCTGGATTCCGGCAAGTCTGCTTGGCTTTATTCCTGTCTGAACCATCTCCAGAAAGATTTTCCCTCAAATGCCAATTTGCTTCCCAACTCAAAGTCCCTCAGTGGCTCCCTCAGGACCATACCCCCCACAACCTCTCACTCTGTTCTCCAGCCTCCAGCGCACTGTTCTTTCTCACGGTCCTGCCTGGAGTGCCTACCCCCACCCCTGCCAGCAGCCACCTCTCAGCACCATCGGAACTCAGCCCCGGCATCATCTCTTCCAGGAAATGCTCCCAAGTCTCCTAGTCAGCCAGGGGCCCGGAACACTGTCCTAATAGCACCCTGGCCCACGCGGATCAGAGATTCATCAGGCAGGCTTGCGGTCTCCCTTCAGGTTCGGGTGCTCATTACGACCTAAGCTTTTACTCCTCTGGCCTGACGCCGCTCCCTGGCACAGAGTGGTGCCTACTAAATCATTTATTGAATTACTTGATAAATGAGCTAAGGAGCTGTCTTCCGAGCTTCAGACACACATTTCCCCTTTCCACATAATATCTCCAAATGCATGTCCTTGAGGCACCTCAGACTCAACATGTCTTCAACCAGGTTCATAGGGCTCTGATTTAACTTCATATCTATTTTGATTAATGTCATTATACATCCTTACTATTACTAACCTCAAAACCCAGGACCTACCTTCAACTCCTACGTGCCATACATTGTCCAGTGCCATTGCTTTCGCTTGCTCAAGTGTCTTTCCAAACTTTTCTCACGCTCACTCCTGCTGCCTCTTCCTCCTGTTTCCTGACCAATGACCAGGAAGCACACACACTCACATGCCCATCAGTTGGGACTGCTCACGATTCCCTAAATACAGTCTGCACCATCCCTCTTGGGCTTTGCTAGCATCAGCCCTGTCCTTCCATCCCTTGCTCAGCTGCTACCACCTCCATGAGGCCCTTTAAAATTCTTCTTGAAAGACTTACTCTCTTCCACTCCGGGAGCATGTCATATCGCTTACCACAGTCTGCCTTGTACCACCGTTATTATGTGTGTTTCCATCCTATCATCTAGACACCAAGCCCTTAGGAGACAGAGCCCATGTCGTGTTCATCCTAGGAAAAATGTGCACACAGTAGGAGTTTAACAAATAGTTTTGCATTTATTAATAGACTCAATTGATTTTTTTTTCCATTTTTTGTTCAGATAGAGTGGGAGGGAGAGAGAGGAACAGAGAGAGAGAAACATCGATGTGAAAGGAACACATGTAGTGGCTGCCACCTGCACGACCGACCAGGGCCGGGGACAAACTGCAACCGAGGTACGCACCCCTAGCGGGAACCGAACCTGGGTCTCTCAGGACCGCAGGCCGACGTTCTAATTGCTGAGCCAAACCGGCCAGGGCTCAATTTATTTTTATTAATCAATTTATTCCATAAGACTATATTTGGCATCACATGTGTTACTCCTTAACATGACTGATGAGATTCACTGATTTCATCAAAGGCAGAATGTTATACTGGCTTTAGGGTAATAATAGCTCCCATTGACTTCATGCCTACCCCCTGTCAAGCATTATATGCATATTATTTCTCATCTTTGCAATAACCTTTGCAAAATAGAAAAGTCCATCCCCATTTTTTTTTTTTATCCTCACCTGAGGACATTTTTCCATTTTTTTTTTTATTCAGACAGAGTGGTAGGGAGAGAGAGGAAGAGAGAGAGAGAGAGAAACATCGACGTGAAAGGGACACATCGAGTGGCTGCCACCCGCACGACACAACCAGGGCCGGGGACAAACTGCAACCGAGGTACGCGCCCTTAGCGGGAACCGAACCCGGGACTCTCTGGACCGCAGGCTGACGCTCTAACCGCTGAGCCAAACCGGCCAGGGCCCATCCCCATTTCATAGATGAGGAAATTCACATTCATGAGGGCAACTTGCCCAAAATCAAATATCTGTAAGTGCCCAAGCTGGGACCAGAAGCCAGGTTTATCTAATTCTAAAAACAAACAGACCACGTACCCTGCATCTGTACTGTGGGGTTGGTAAGTCTGTTTTGCTCCTTTCCTTCACTTCAGCATCTTCAGAAAGAAGATTTTGGTTTGTTGACGAGTCAGTGTTTATTTTGTGTTTTATAGGTAACTTTGACCTCAGACACATCTCAAGAGGATCTGGTGGACAAAAAGTGCTTAGCTGAAAAATACACACATCTCTCCTGCCATAAAGTCTTCTGCCAGCCGTGGCAGAAATGCATCCAAAACGCCTGCATTTGTAAACTCCCTTACCAGTGCCCAAAGAATGGCACCGCAGTGTGTTCCACAAACGGGAAAAGCTACCCAACCTACTGTCAGCAAAAGAGTTATGAGTGTCTTTATCCAGAGGCAAAGTTTTTAAACAGTGGGAAATGCACAGCTAAAGGTAGGAAAAGCCTCATGTATTTTATGATATAAGAAGGAGATTGTTTCTCATACTTTCTATTAGAAAATATTTTTCCTATGAAATGTTATAACGACAATTCAAAATTCTCTCTAGTCTCAAGAGCAATTGGGGTGATAACTAAAGAAGTCATAATGTAGCCCGCCCTTAGGCCCAGAGCCCTAGGACTAGACCCGGTCCTCCCCCCAGTGCCCCTCAATGCTTTCTTTTTTTTCTTTTTTCTTTTTGTATTGATTTGAGAAAAACAGGAAGGGAGAGGGAGAGAGATAGAAACATCGATGAGAGAGAACACTGATTGGCCGCCTCCTGCATGCCCCCCACTGGGGATTGGCCCACAACCTGGGCATGTGCCCTGACCAGGGATCGAACCAGCAACCTCTTGGTGCATGGGTCAACGCTCAACCACTGAGCCCCATTGGCTGGGCCTCATGCAATGTTTTTGCTCAACCCTTCAGAATTGTCCCCGCACTTACTTCTACTTAGGTAAAAGGTCACTGACTTGGTTCAGAACCCACTGAAAAGTCTTTACATGAGATTGGTACTGATATGGAGCCCTCCTCTGGACCTACAGCGCCCATCATTTCTTCCAGCATTTATCCCACCACCCCGACCCCTCTCCCTAGCCCCGACCCCACTGTCCTGATCCCTGAGCTCAGGCCACTGCTGACCTAAGACATACTTCAATCTAGCAAACTTGGCACATCAGACCAGAGAGCTTGTCTACACTCCATCCAGGTGCCTAATGTAGTAAGAAGGCTGGGATGCTAATATGTGGATTAGTGAAGTGGTTAAAATTAGGGACTTCATTGCAAGCCCCTCCACACCCTGGTCTGGCTATTGGCACGCTATGTGACCTCTCTGGGCCTCAGTTTCCACATGCAGAAGATGTGAATAACAGTAACTTCTAACTCACAAGACTTTTGTGGGAATTAAATACAATGATGTGTGCAAAGCTCTTCACACAGTTTTGGCACACACAATGTGCTCATGAAATTTTAGTGGTGACAGCAAACCTCAGGCTTATTGTCCTCTGGTATCAATTATCACAGGCACTTGATGAATTTACAAAAAATGATTAAAACATTCTCTTTAAGGACATCACAATACACACCAGCTCACAGTAGCCTAGATAGTTTTGTTGTGCTGAGTTAAGATGTTGAAGTTCTGTGGAAAAGGAGAAAGAAAGCTCGCTATTTGAGCTCATCCCTAATACCTGTTGGACAGGAAGAAAGCCACAGTGGAGATTATTTTGTCAGTGTCAGACTTTTGTTCTCCTGAGGCATTAAATACCTTAAATGTGTGAGAGTACACAGACCTTGCTTACATTTCCATTATTTGTTTGGTGTACTTTTAAGAGCATGGACTTTGGAGTAGAGATCAACATAGTACCATGATTTTTCAACCTTCTTGACCTAATGGCACACATAAACTAATTCCTAAAATTCTGTGGCACCTCAAAACATATTTTTTGCCGATCTGACCAAAAAAAAGGTATAATTTTGATTCATTCACACTGGATGGCTGTTGTTGTTAGCCGTTGTCATTTTATTTTTATTTTTATTTTTATTTGACAATCTAAGGGAAGAGAGGTCAGTGCCCCTGACTAAATAGTCAGGTACTGCATGTTTTAAAAATTCTTGCCAGTGTGCCAAGGCACACCGGCTGAAAATCGCTGATGTAGCCAAATTCCTGACTTCCCCACTTGAGCAAGTAACTTCATGTATAAAAATGAAGAAATTTAGGTTCCTTGTGTGTAAAGTGGGGATAGTAGCCTAACCTTCGCAGGGTTGATGTGAGGACTTTGTGATATTCTTTTTTTTTTTTTTTTTTAATCCTCACCCAAGGACATTTTTTGATATTTGGTTCAGATAGAGTGAGAGGGAGAGAGAGAAACATCGACGTGAAAGCGACACATCGAGTGGCTGCCACCCACAGGACCCAACCAGGGCCGGGGACAAACTGCAACCAAGGTACGTGCCCTTAGCGGGAACCGAACCTGGGTCTCTCTGGACCGCAGGCCGATGCTCTAACCACTGAGCCAAACCGGCCAGGGCAGGATTTTATGATATTCTGTGAAACTGGGTAACACAGCCACTAACACATCATAAGCCCTAGTAAAATAATTGCTTACCATTACTTGTTAAAATCTTTATGATGTTTAAAATTAATTTGAAATTATGTATTTATTCTTTTAAAGGCTTTTAATCAAGAGGAGAAAAGTGAATGCCTAAATGTTGCACATTCTTTTGGTTTCCTTTTAGGACAATTTAATGTTTCCTTGAAGTACGGCAATAGTGATTCAGAGGGAACTGTTGAAGTAAAACTTGTAGACCAGGATCAGAAAATGTTCATTTGCAGTGACAGCTGGAGCATAACAGAGGCCAACGTGGCCTGCCTTGACCTTGGATTTCAACAGTGAGTGCCTGCACCAGGGCATTGTCTCAGGGTTGATTTCCTTGTTTCAACTGTTTGTTTTTTGATTAACTCATCTTTCTGTGCCTCAGCTTCCTCATGGGTAACCTGAGACTAACTGCCTGCCTCAATCCAGCACTGTTATGAGGATTAAATGTGCTCATGATCCACTGGCACTTAGAACACTGCTGAGCACAGCGCAACCGGAAGTTTGTTCAAGTGTCTGAATACGAAGTCTTTGCTCATTTGGAGAGCTGCAAATACGCTCATTACTGTGTCTCTCCTCATCTATAATTGTGTCCACTTTTTCATACCTGATATTATTTATTTATGCCTTCATTTATGCCTTCTTTCCTTTTTATTTATTTATTTTTTGTCTTCAGATAGAGTGAGAAGGAGGGGGAGAGAGAGAGAGAGAGAGAGAGAGAGAGAGAGAGAGAGAGAAACATCGTTGTGACAGAGACACATGGACTGGTTGCCTCTCGCACAATCCTGACCAGGGCTGGGGACCGAACCACAACCAAGCTACATGCCCCTGACTGGAATCGAACCCTCAACTCTGGTACGCAGGCCAATGCTCTAACCGCTGAGCCAGACAGGCCAGGGCTCTTTTTTTCTTGATCAGCCTTGCATAGATTTGTCTATTTGATTAGTGCTTTTGATTTTTATATTTGTAAATTGTCTCTTGTGTCTTTATTTTCAACTTATTAACTTTTGCTGTTATGTTTGGCTCTCTCTTCTTTTCTGTATGTCAGTTTTCTATTTCCTTGAGTTAAATGCTTAACTCATAAATTTTCAATTTTTCTTTATTTTCTAAGATAAGCATTTAAGGTACAAATTTTCGCCTAGCAAATGCTTCATCTGCATACCATTAGCTTCCAAAAGTGGTATTTTATTTACTGTTGAGTTCAAAATATTTTCTAATTTTCTTTTTATTTCTTTATTGATTTTTTTTCTTTATTTTTAAGAATGAGGGGGTCAATTTATTTTGAGTACATTTATCATGAAATATCAATGTGTACAATTTCAAACATTTATAAATATTGCAATTTATAGAAAATTAATGTCATCTTAAAATTATTTGAACAATGATTTTCATAATTATTTACAATAAACTTAGTCCACCTTTCTAGAAACATAATTATGTTTATTTTTTGTTTTTTTTTGTTTTTTTATCCTCACCCGAGGACATTTTTCTATTTTTTGTACAGATAGAGTGGGAGGGAGAGAGAGGAAGAGAGAGAGAGAGAAACATCGACGTGAAGGGACACATCGAGTGGCTGCCACCCGCACGACCATCCAGGGCCGGGGACAAACTGCAACTGAGGTACATGCCCTTAGCGGGAACCGAACCCGGGTCTCTCCGGACCGCAGGCCAATGCTCTAACCGCTGAGCCAAACTGGCCAGGGCGAAACATAATTATGTTTAAAAGTACCCTGCCACAAAGTGGTAACTTCACAGTACCGTTCTATAGTATGTATGTCACTAAAGTGGCAGCAGCATCAATAAAATCCAGCAGATTCAGCAGTTTAGAAACAGCACAATGAGAACTGCAAATCCAAGTTAGCATGAATTCCAAACAAAACTTTTTATATTAACATATAAATCTTTTTCCAGTTTCAGCACTGATTGAATAATTAGGAGGCAGTATATTCTTGTTTGTAGTAAACAGCAATTTTAAGGTATTTTTTAAATCAACATTAAGAAGTTAGATTAGGCACACACAATACTAAATATTTTGAGAAATTCTTCATATTACTGGAAGCCACTTCTAATAGTAAAACTTTTTTAGTTGTTATGACTCTTTATTGATTTGTAGAGAGAGAGGAGGGCAGAAGGAGAGAGAGTCAGAAACATCAATGAGAGAAAACATTGATTGGCTGCCTTCTGCATGCCCCCACTGAGGATCAGGCCCACAACCTGGGCATGTGCCCTGACCGAGAATCGAATCAGTGACCTCTTGGTGCAGGGGTTGATGCTCAACCAGTGAGCCACACCGGCCAGGCTCTAATTTTCAATATGATTTATTCTCCAACACATATGTAATTTAGAAGTTCTTTCTCTTTCCTAATGAATATATTAGTTTGCTTTTAGTTAATTTTTTGTTATTGTTTTTCTGTTTAATTGTATTTTAGTCAGAGAAAGTATACATTGACAACTGCTTATTTTAAATAGCTGTTGAAACTTGTTTTGTGCTGAATAGATTTTAAATACTTCATGTGCAGGGTTCTATATAATAGATATGTTATTTATTAGAATAAGCTAGCTTGTTAACTGCCTTATTCAAATCTTCTTCCTCTTATTTATGTATAATTTTTCTGTGTCTTTATTAAGTGTGTCTCTTACAATCTTATATCTAATTTTCTTTTAAACTCAACATGACAGCCCAACCACTATGGCTCAGTGGTTGAGCACCAACCCAGGCACCAAGAGGTCACTGGTTCAATTCCTGGTTAGGGTACATGCCCAGGTTGTGGGCCAAATTCCCAGTGGGGGGCATGCAGGAGGCGGCCAATCAATATTTTCTCACATCACTGTTTCTGTATTTTCCTCCCTCTCCCTTCCTCTCTCTCTAAAATCAATAAAGAAAAAAATTAAAATAAAATAAACCCAACACGACAATCACTGTCTGAAGAGTGTAGTCCATTAACATCATTGTGATTATTCACATTGTCAAATTTATTTTTCCTATCTTATTGTGGGCTTATAATTCACCCTGGCATTTTCTGTGCCCTTGTTTCTGCCTTCACTAACTTCTATTAGGTTAATCAAGCTGTTCTGTTTTGTTTTCAATCTCCCTCCTTTTCTTCCTCTATGTGGTTTGGAAATTATACATTCTATTTCTATTCCTTTAGTGTCTAGCTTTATATTATCACCATGAAGTCTTGACATAGCAAATCTTCACCCTCTTCAGGAATAAGACAAAGAATGTCATTACACTATCAAGTTTCCAGTATTTAGTTCCACCTTATTTTAATATGTCCTTGAAGTTCATTGCTATTGTTATAGACTAAGCAATTATTATTACTGTTGTTTAGTCCGTGTTTACTCAGATTTCCTTGATGTTTACCAACTTCTTGGTTTTTGTTACTTCTTGCATCTCACTCCATAATTCTGGATTCCACTTTCTTCCTCCTACACCATATCTGCTAGTAGTTCCTTCATGAGAGTCTCTTATCATTAAATTGAGCCACAGGGTATTTATGATTTTCGACAGTTTGTGACCTACAACCTCTGATTCAACCTAATGGTAAAGTCTCTGTCTTTGATCTCTCAGTATTTTATTCTTATCATGTTTTGCATAAACTCATGGGTATACTTCTCTGATCTGAGCCAGTGGGTATTTCGCTCATTTCCTTCAGAGCTCATTGCAGGCATTTATTACATTTTATCCAGTGTTTTTACGTAGGTTTAGGTTGAATGCTTTTTCAGATTATTCACCTGTCAGGCTACTCCAAATGACTCCCATCTGTTCTCATACTTTGGTGTTGTTTGGCACAGTTTCATGACGACTACGTCCTCATTGTAGATCTGAAATAATTGAAAATACCCTTCTTGTTCTCTTTGTTTTGCCTTTCATTCTAATTTATCTGATCTTTATTGCCATTACTGCTTTATTTTTGTTTATTTGCCTGATGTATCTTTGATCAACTTTTTTTTTTTATCTTCACCCGAGGACATTTTTGCATTTATCTTCAGATAGAGCAGGAGGGAGAGAGGGGGGAAGAGAGAGAGAAACATTGATGTGAGAGAGACACATCGACTAGCTGCCACCCACACAACCTCAGCTGGGGCCAGGGACAAACTGCAACTGAGGTACATGCCCTTAGAGGGAACCGAACCCGAGTCTCTCTGGACCCGGGCCAACTCTCTAACCGCTGAGCCAAACTGGCCAGGGCTAACTTTTTTTTTTTAACTCGTTTGTTTCTAAAGAGAAGTAGAGAACACTTGACTGTCCTGGAAGAGTAGCTCACTGTAACTCATCACCACTAGGATATATAGCTGCTTGCCCACAGAAATTTTGAACAGATTGAGAAGTTCAAGCAATGGGGGTATCGATGCCAAAATAGCACCTTTATACTGTTAAGGATGAACTGAGGATGTAGCTTAGTGTGAAGGCAAAATGGACCTGCTGGAATTAAACCAACTTAACCTCCCAAATCCTAGGCAAAAATTTGGCCACCATGGTAAGCCTTACAGCATGGGGCAGGCATAGAGTCCCCCACCCCACACACCTCCCACAAAACGGGCAAGCTGGGCTGACTTTTTCTTATTTATATTTCCAAAATTTCCTGATCTAATTAATCCATTCCCTTTCCTGAAGAGAAGAGGAATGAAAAGATGGAGAGAGGCCAAGAATGACATGACTCAAGTTGGAAGGAGTCATCCAGGAGTGAGGGAGAAGAAACCATCCTTCTGAATAAGAAACAGAGGGGAGGAAACCAGTTTTCACTGAGTGCTTGCCACGTTTAGAACTCCAGCTAGTCCGTTTAAATTGATTGTTATAGTTAATTCTTGCAAAACTTGGTGAGATAGTTGTATTCCCTTTTATAGGTACAGATACTGAGGCTCAGATTTTAAGCATTTTGCCCAAGCTATCGCTCATATGTAGAAAATAAGAGGAAATTAATTCTATTGCCTTTCCTCTACAGTAAGGGTACAAATGCATTCATTATTCTGGCCAAATATTTCAATTATTCTGTTTGCAGAGGTGCTCTTGATACTCAAGGAGACTTCCATATTCCTGAAGAGCTCCATGCAAGTCCCACTGAATGTCTGCAGGTGCACTGTCGAGGATTCGAGTCCAGTTTGGCTGAATGTACTTTTACTAAGAGACTAACTAAATCTCACCAGGGTTTAGCTGGTGTGGTGTGTTACACACAGAATGCAGGTTGGTAGAGTGCTTTTGCCTGACATTTTCCCTTCCTTCAAGGCTGTTTATTTCAAACCAAGTCTGTAATAAACAAACAAGTGACGCCTACCCATTTTCCAGTCACAGAGTCAAAATCATGTTTTGGGTTTTAGAGCCTACATTGGTGTTCTACCCTTATTGTACTTTTCTGCCACTCAGGTATTAGCTCTGTCCAGGTTCCTGCATGGGAAGCAACATTGCTTAACTCCCTTCTGCTTCCTTGACATCTGGATTAAAGTTAATGTAGCAAACACAAGTCAATCAGACATCAGAAGAAACCTCAGCATCTCCTTCAAGACATCCAGTCTATGCACGTTGATTTAAAATGTGTGTGACCACATCCATGTCTCCGTTTCCAGGCCACGTTTTCTCCTCCATCCTGACACTGCAGTGTATTGACCATATATATAGTGTTAAAGGCCAGAGCCTCTAATGGTGCTTTAAAAAAAAATGTAGCATCAAAATGTAAATGGCACTGCCCAGGTGAGTCTTGAAATGAAGGTGGGATGACAGTGTTGATACTATCAGTGCATTTTAGATCAATTTTTATTTGATGCCTGACTTTATCTTAATATCCCCATTATTCCAAAAAAAATGTGATTAAGATGGCACCCACAACTCCACAAAAAAATAAAAAATAAATAAATATATAAATAAATAAATAAACTTTACAAGGACAATTTTTACTCTACAGTTTCTCCAACGAATAACTCCTTTCAGTGTGTGAATGGGAAACTCATCCCTCAACAGAAGGCCTGTGATGGTGTCAATGACTGTGGAGACCAGAGCGATGAGCTGTGCTGTAAAGGTAGAGATAAACCCAGCCTTTAAGTCCTTCTGGCTAGCCCGGTCGGTGTGGCTCAGTGGATTGAGCATTGTCCCATGGACTGAGAGGTCCTGGTTTGATTCCCAGTCGGGGCACATGCCTGGGTTTCAGGCTTCATCCCTCATGCAGGAGGCAGCCGATCGATGTTGCTCTCCCACATCGATGTTTAAATCGATCTCTCTCTAAAAAAAAAAAAAAACAATAAAAACATATTTAAGAAAAAAAATCCTTCTGGCTAACAAAGTGAAATCAACTTTACCATTGAATTCAAGATTCCTTCTCATTCCATTTTAAGAAAGAAAAAAGAAAACCCAAACTTTTCTATTTATGTTTGCACAGGGTGTCGAGGAGGAAGTTTCCTTTGTAAATCGGGTGTTTGTATTCCACCCCAGTACAAGTGCAATGGTGAGGTGGACTGCATTACCGGAGACGATGAAACTGATTGTGCGGGTAATTGAAAGTTCTGTGGTTCTTTTTTTCCATTATTCAATCCAGGGATTCTAGAATTTTTTTCTTAAGGTAAATTGTAATCTTAAGTGACCACAGGAGGGTAGAGCAGTAAGAGTACTAGAGAGTGAGCATTTGAAGGGTTATGGGATGTTCTTCTTCTTATTTATTATTTATTAAATATTTACTTGGTATTTTAGAACTTTATATTAGGAAATTTTCCCACATAACAAAAATAGACTCTTAGAATGAACCCTTATGTGCGCATCTCCCACCATCAACAATGATTAGTATTTTGCCAGTCTTGGTCAGCTTTTTTGAGTATTTTAAAGCAAATTTCAGATATCACATAACTTGTCACGTATAAGGACAACCATCATCTCATTAGTACACTTAAAAATAATAATAATTACTAACACTGTTCAGTAACAGCCCATGTTCAATTTTTCCAACTGTTTTAAAAAGGTCTATAGAATTAATGTGTTTGAATCAAGATACAAAATAATTTAACATTATGTTCAGTTATTAATTTTTTAAAGTATCCCTTATTCTTTAAAAGTTACCCGTCTAGCCCTGGCAGGTTTGGCTCAGCGGTTAGAGCGTCAGCCTGCGGACCAGAGAGTCCCGGGTTCGGTTCCCGCCAAGGGCACGTACCTCAGCGGCAGTTTGTCCCCGGCCCGGTTGGAGTTATGTGGGTGGTGACCACTCGATGTGTCTCTCTCACATTGATGTTTCTCTCTCTCTCTCTCTCTCTTCCCCCCTCTCTGTCTCCCACTCTGTCTGAAGATAAATGTAAAAAATGTCCTCAGTGAGGATTAAAAAAAAGAAAGAAAGAAAAAGGAAAAAGAAAGTTATCTATTTATTCACCCCCAATTTTTTTCATGCCATTGATTCTCTAGAGAAACTGGGACATTTGCTTACAGGATGTTCCTTATTCTGGATTTATGGAGACACGATTAGATGCAAAGTTCAATGTTTTAGGCACAAATTCTTGATGGGTGGTGCTGGTAATTCCTATTAATATAATGCCTTGTTGTCTGGTTATCCCACTTCTAGTGATGTTAAGAGTGATCACGAGATCAGCTTGATGGCTCCTTTAAAACAGTCCCCCCACACCCTTTCCCCTTCATGCTTTTCAGCAGCCTTCTCTTGTTGCCTAGAGCCAATTTGCCAATAGGGATTGTGAAATGGTGATCTCTAATTCCTCATTCCTTCTGCACTTATTAACTTCTATAGAGAACTTTTCTTCATCAACTATTTTGTTTCCATAAAATGTGGTTCATAAGAGAAAGGCAGAATCATGCTTAATTCTTCCTTTTACTTGCCAAGTGTTTCAAAGCAACAAGTTGATGGTCTTGGATTTTTGGTGCTCACTGGAAACCCTCCAATGTGAAAAATATTTACTAGGTAGAATATTTACTATTCTGCCTCATAGACTGACTTCTTTCTCCCTTCAATGTTTCTTGGGGTGGGGGGACGGAAGCTTTCTAAGTTATTACATTCATTCGTTTACTCAACGAATATTTAAGTTCTTACTATGTTCTGTGCGCCAGGCCCTGTTCCAGGTGCTGGGGTTATGATAGTGAATAACATTTCAGAATCCTTGCCCCCTCATAGATCATACATTCTAGTGGATGAGGGAGACAATAAATAGAAGAAATAAATAAAACATCTCATAAAAGAATAAGTATTAAGAAGAAAAACAAAGCAAGGAAAGAAGATATAAAATGTCAAGGGTAAATTCTAAAATTTCAGATAAGGTGGCCAGGGCAGGCTCACTCACTGGGTAACTTGTAGGTAAAGAGAGGAAGGGAATGATGGATGTGACAACTGTGTATGGTGCCAGGTGGGTACTGAAAATATCAGGGAGAACACTTTGTAAAGTAAATGATTGTCTCACCACTATGCTGTACACCGGAAACTAATACAAAATAATATTGCAATTATTATTTTTTGAATCATTAATTAACAAGTGTAAACTGTAATTAAAAAATAAGATTTGAAAAGAAAAATGATTGGACCAGCCATGCAGATGTGTGCGGAAGAGTGTCCTAGGCAGAGGCAACAATGGGGTGATGTTCCTAAGACAGGAACATTCCAGTTTGTGGCAGGAACCAGCAGCCAGGAGAGTGTTAGAACAGGTGTTGCAGTGAGAGGTTAAAGGACAAAGAGTAGGAAAGGCTGGAGGGGTGGTTGGGGCGGAGGAGATTGGGGTCTGTGGGTGAGTGAAACGGGTACTTGAAGCAGAGGAAGATGATCTGACTCACACTTTAACTCAAGATTACCCTGGTGGTGGGGTGGGAAACAGTCTGTACAAGGGTCAGGGAGATGCAGAGACTGATGAGGAAGCCACTGCAGTATCCAGGGAAGAGATGACAGTGACCCAGACAAGTGGGTAGGAAGTGAAATGATGAGGAGCTGTCAGATTCTGGATCTGTTTGGCTACAGCCAAAGAAATTCACTGGTAGATTGGATGGGGGGTGTGAGAACAAATGAGCAGTCAGGGTTTTGGCCTGAGAATTGAAAGGATGGAGCTACTTTCAAGGAAGACGGGGAGGCTGCAAGGGGAGCAGCTGTACCGAGATGCATCGCACATGTGGGCCTACCCGGCGCGGTGCTGGTCAAGGCTTCACAGCTGGCTTTGAGCGGAGAGGGAGCCCTGATTTGTAGCCTTTGCCAATTTCTGTGGTGTAAATGCTCCCTCCATGGGTGACTTCAAGCCAATGACATGGTGTCACAGGACACAGGCTGGGAAGTGACACAGCCTGTGGTGTGGTGGTAGAGTCCATGTCAGGACACCACTGAACGGCTGTGAACTATTTATTGTTAGGTTTTTGTACTTGTCTTACCTTTCCTTCTCTTATTTATTTTTTAACCTCACCCTTTTGCATTTATCTTCAGATGGAGCAGGAGGGAGAGAGAGAGGAAGAGAGAGAGAGAAACATAGATGTGAGAGAGACACATCGAGTAGTTGCCACCCACTCGACCCCAACCAGGGCCGGGGACAAACTGCAACCAAGGTACGTGCCCTTAGCAGAACTGAACCTGGGACTCTCTGGTCCGCGGGCCAATGCTCTAACCGCTGAGCCAAACCGGCCAGGGCTTACCTTTCCTTATCAATAGTAAACACCTTGAAAACAGAATCTCTCTCATTATTTTTATATTCCAGATGTCCTAGATAGAAAACCTTACACATAAGCATTAAATAAATGTTGAAGATATGTATGCATAAACGAATCAATACTAAGTGTATTTTGTCATTACGTGGCATGCCAAGTATTTGACTTCACTGAAATTTGGTTGAATGTTCCTCTGATATCACTTCTTAAATTTAAAAAAGCAACACTTTTTTAGGATTTCAAATCACATCATTTCTTTTCAAGGGTAGATAAGCAGTTGAGCAAAATACTTCTATGTTCACTAAAAGTAGTTAACTCCTTAGTAAAGAAGAAGGAGAAAGAAATATTAAAAACAATTTTCAGGGAGGAAAGCAATAAGCATGGCTTTTGCCAGTTTTCCCGCTAGGTTTATTGAGATTTAACGGATACACAGTACTATATAAGTTTAGGTTTACAGCATAATGACTTGACACACATACATTGTAAAATAATTATAATAAGTTCAGTGGACATCTGTTACCTCACAGTTACAAATTTTTTTTCCTTGTGATAAGAACTTTTAGGATTTACTCCCTTAGCGACTTTCAAATATGCTATACAGCAGGGCTAACCATAGTCACCATGCTGGGTACATTCCATCCCAAGTGCTGAATTATCTGTAACTGATTATAAAGAGATATAACTACCTTGTACCTTTTGTCCCCGTTCACCCAATTCCCCCTCCCCTATCTCCTGCCTCTGGTAACCACAAGTCAAATCTGTGTCTGTGAGTTTGGTTTTTGTTTTCAATTCGAGGTGTGAGATCATACAGTATTTGTCTTTTTCTGAAGCTACACAGTTTGATTTCACTTCTGTATAATAATATTTTGGGTTTCTTCTCTTCCTCTTCCTCTTTCTTCCCTGCTCTCTCTCTTTCCTCCTGAGTCAGAACTCTAAAGTCTAAGGTCAAAGAACATAATTTGATAGTTCATCAAGAAAAAAAAAATCTACTGCAAAGGAGTTACTACAACATAGAGCTTGATATTCTTATCATTGTCATGAATCTGTATGAAAAATACATTTAGTCAACTGTCATTATTAGCTCAGTTTACCCTTCTCTTTCTGTAACTGGTCTAAGACTCCCCCCTCTAAGAAAGAACAAGTGTGAATAGAGGTGTAAAATATATGTATATTAGTATATTCGCTGATCTCTCCTTTCAGGGGACAGATCAGCATCACTAAACCAAGGGAGGTTTGGAGTATAGCTTGATTTTTTAAAAAAAATTTTTCCAATTTTTATTGATTTATTTTTGTTACAGATGTTTCTCCTTTTTTTCCCCTAGACACCCTTCTCCCCATCATGGCCCCCATCCTCCCAGCATTGTTGTCTATGCCTATTGGTTATGCATACTTGCATATAAGTTCTTTGGTTCATCTCATCCATCCTCCCCGCCCCCTACCGAGGTCTGTCAGTCTGAACCATACTCCTTTCTGTGTCTCTGGGTCTATTTTGTTCATCAGCCCACCTTGTTCATTATATTCCACAAATAAGTGAGATCATGTGGTATTTATCTTTCTCTGATTGGCTTATTTGGCTTAGCATAATACATGTAGTCTCAAAGGATAAGAGATCTCTCTCTCTTACAGCTGCATAGTATTCCATTGTATATATGTACCACAGTGGAGTATAGCTTGATTTAATGTGTCCTTCCTAAGTTACCTTGTATTCATATAAGTTAAAGAGTTATAAAATTTATATAATTGTATAGTTTGTTGGGTGTGGTTTCAAATATACCTAAAATAGAAACCTCTTTTTAAATCTCCAGTTAAAATGATTTCCTTGCTGTAGTGAAATGGGTATGTTTAAATAGAAAATGAAACATTTGTTATGTGGTATTAAAAATAAAAAAGAAATGACATACTGTGGTTTTTGTAAATATTAATTTGTTATACTATGTCTAACATCATAATGATTTGTGTATATTTTATTCAAGTGAAAATTATCTTTTTGCTACAATGAGTTTTTTTGTTTGTTTGCTTTTAGGAACTGGACATCCTAAAACTAAAGGTAAATATATTTTTATAATAGAAAATTTATATTACAGAATTGAAAATAAGAATAAGGTGTTATAACTTTTTATCATATATGCACAGTATATTGATACAATGTGCATTTTTCTCAAATAAAAATTATGCTTTGCTATAGTAAACTTTTTGTTTTTTATTTCTTCAGGCAAAGTTGCACATTTGGCTCAAGGTAAAAATTTTATTAAATTCTTGAGATACTGCAGAATTGAAACAGAACAAAGGCACTGCTATCTTATGCTTCAATGTAGCTATCAGGGGAGGAGGATGTGCCAGGTGTGACCACTGACCCAGCTCTGACAGAGCCCCTTTTCATAGGGATAAACTTGCATTCTGAGCCTCACTCCCCTCCCGCTGCCTGCTGAGCCAAACCACCCAAAGGGGCATCACCTGCGCATGCTGCCTCTTCTGAGCACCCTTCTCTCCTCCACCTTTCCCTCAAAACCAAGGCAGTTCCTTACCAAACTGCCACCGGAGAAAAGACACCTCTTTGCAGGATAGGCAGTATTTTCTTATTTACTTTGAAAGCCAGAAGTTCCCAAATCCGACTCTTTAGGGTCACCTTTTCCTTTCTTATTCATGTAGAATGACTACCGGAAGTTTACGGTCCCCCTCAGGATGTCTTAGGACTCCTAGGGGACTTTTACCTGCTCCGGATCACCTGAGCACCCATCTCAATTGTTTCTTTGTATCCCCCTCTTTTGTCACCTTGCTTTCCAAGGCGGCTGCTGTTCCCACCACCACCAGCGTTCACTATTCCTCTTCCTCTCCCCTCCCTCTGCCTTCCTTCCTTCATAGTTTCAGACCAAAGGCACAGAGGTGAGTCAATGCTACTCCTCCGCTCACTGCACGTGGTTACCTCTGGTCCAGGCCAGGCCCTACGCCCGTTGTATCTGTTCTCCTTCCCCCCGCCCCTTACTCCCATTCCCCACGGCAGCCATTGGAATGTGATTTAACTCGTACGTCTGTGTGTGTGTGTGTGTGCAAGCTCACGCAGTGTGTATTGTTCTTTTGTGAGCATACACTTTTAATTCACATAGTACTTTGTTGTACAGCTCACATTTCCTTTTCTCCTTTTCACAAAGCACTATGTTTTAAACATCTGTCCACACTGTTGTGTGGCCACTGAATCTGTTGCTTCTAACTGCTGTGTAAAATACTCTGTGGTGTTCATCTTTCTCAATACGCTCTCTGCTTTCTCCATAATGAACTCTCAGTGCACGGTCTGCAATGGATTTCCTCTCCTTAGGGATGTGTAGGAGGATTTCGTGGAGACATCTAGCTGGCAAGGAATTGTTGGGTCTTGGGGTACACATCTACTCAATTTGATGAGCCCTGCGTGTCCTTTAGCACAGCTGTCCAGTCCTCACCTCCACCACTGCCGGAGGGCTCTCCTTGCCACACCAGCATTTAGTATCCAGCTTTCTGATTTAGCTGGTCTCATCCTGCCAAGCGATACGGCATTGTTTATTGATTTGAACGTCTGTAATAAGCAATGGTTTTGGATCTCTTTTTATAGGCATGCTAGGTTTTCTTAGTTTTTCCTTCTTTTTCTTTCACCAGTCAACATCTTTTGCCTCATTTCACATTGGGATTGCAGTCTTCTTTCTTGGTGGTTTGCATTCTAGATATGAATCCATTTTCAGTTGCGGACAGTGCATGCATCTTCTTCCATTCTGTCACCCACCTATTAACTTTACCTATAGTTAGCTTTTTCGAATATATATCTTTAATTTTATATAATCAAAGTCATCGGTTGCTTCTCTTACGGTGAGTGCGTCAGAGCTTCGTGCTGCTCTTCTGACCGCAGTCAGCTGGGCTGCGCGGCGCTTCCCGTCTCCCTCTGTTGAGCATGTAGTGAGAATGTTGAGGCTGATCATGAGGGTGCTTTCGTGAAAGTGCTGAGCAGAGCCTCCCTCTGCCCAGAAAATAACATATGTGTGTGACATACGTGTGTGGCCTAAGAGAAGCATGTATGTCTCTTCTAAAATGAACTCGGGAAATCCAGGGCTAGGACACAGGATTGCTGCAGCAGAGTAACACTGTCCTCCGGGCAGCACCCTCGTCCAGGACAGAGCCACATGCTGGTGGGAATCCTGCGCGTGACCGAAACGTCCTCGGGCCGCGGAGTGAAGATGAACTCATCCCACAGAACTTCAAGCCAAATCTAAGGAAGAAAGAAAGAAGAAACTCTTTTGTTTGTCTGTTTGTTTTATTTTTTTGCTTTTGACTTCTGCATCCCAGATGTCTAATACTAACCATGCCTGATATTGAAACCAATGAATATCATTGCTTGCATGACCCCTGCAAGAACTGCCTTATTACGTACAAAATGAGAGGAGCCTTTTTAATGTCAGCTCAGGACTCTCGGTTGGAGTCAGTGACTGCTCCCTACCTTCGGTCAGGATCTTGTGAGTGCAGAGTGGAGAGAGAAGCTTGCTCTAAATGCAGAAAGTAGCAGCACCGTGAGGCTCACCGTTCACTTGTACCGACAGACACCTCTAGTTTGTGCTGCAAAATTCTACATAGTTCATCTTGAGCCTTCACAATTACCTAGCGAAAAAAAGGAAATCAGATGATGTGCTTTGGGGATTTTACACTGTCCTTTTTAAAGGGAGGAGAAGTTTTAAGACAGAAACTTATGCCCTGGCCAGAGTGGCTCAGTTAGATGTCATCCTGTGCACAAAGAGTTGCCGGTTCGATTCCTGGTCAGGACACAGGCTGGATCCCTGGTGGGGGCAGTGCAGACAGCAGTCAATTGATGTTGCGGCCTCACATTCTCACATAGATGTCCCTCTCTCCCTCTCCCTTCCTCTCTTTCTAAAAACCAATTAAAATATTTTTAAAAGAAAAAAGAACAGAAAATTATTATCAAAGTTCAATAATTACAATGATTTAATTTTTAGCTTAAACACAATTTTAAACATTGGAAATTTGTTTTATTATAGAAGAAACAGAAATGTTGACGGCTAATATGGATGCAGGTAAGTTCACATTATTCTTTTTTACTAATAGTTCACTGGTTTAAGTTTATGTTTAATGTCATGTATGTGTGAGTATACGTAAATGTAATATAATTGGTTCAAGCAACAATTACCTTTGATACCAATTTAAATAGGAAAAATAACATTACTTCTCTCCTTTCCTTATAAATGCTTCTTGTGAACTGCTTTGAAAATGAATTAATGCATATGACTAATTTTGAAGTAAAACAATATTCTAGTCTTACATAAAGTTTTTCTATTTGTTATGAGTTTTGTCAGGTCAGTTTTGTCAAAAACAACAAAATTTCAATGGCCCAGGACATACATTTTGAAATAAAAACATAAAGGATTTAATTGAATTCACCTGTTGTTTTGCAGCAGGTTAAGCCATGGTAACAGGTCTGTGAAGATCTGTACTCCGGCCAGTTGTACACGAAAAACCAAATCAAGTTTCAGTTCCTGGGAAAACAGTAACTGATAAGAGTTTTCAGGTCAGATTGGCTTGTATTAAATCCTGACTCAATTATTCATGAACTCTATAACCTTAGGTGAGTAACTTAACCTCAAATACTAACTGGAAATAAAATAGCTCCCTATTTTAGAGGTATTTTAAACTGAAGTTTACACAAGCCTCCCTGCAAATTGCCAGGCCCCAAAATTAAGTAACATTTTTTAAAAATTAGGCAATGAGTTAAAAATTTAGATTTCGAAGCTACAGATACTCAGAAGGGGTCTTCAACAAAAGCCCTTTATTTTCTACTCAAGATAACATTAATTTTCTGATACTACCCTAGCTGGTTTCACAGACCTCAATGAATGAGGTCTCTCTTCCTCCAAAGGCCCAAGCAGAAATTTAAAACTTGCCATCACACTCTTTCCCCAACCTTAGGAGTGGTGGGAGCCCTCCATCCTGAAATCTATCCGCGTTTGTTCAGAACTTCTCTCCCTTGAGGACCTACCTCCTTATAGCTCAAAGCAGCTGACAGTAGTATTAATTTTCCTTTCTCACGTGGGGCTAAGAAGCACATCTACAGACATGTTCATGACATGGTAAAATAAAGAGAGAGAATAAGGAGAGCATCTTACACTTACTTTCTTCCTTTATCACAAATTCTCTTGCACATTCATGTCTGAAGTCTAGGTCCCCCAGTGACACATCTGAATGCTCATGGAGGAAGGAACATCATCGCATGTCAAGTGGCTAAACACATACCCCCTTCTCCTGGCCAACTGACCCGGGATTGCCAGGGGTTCCCAGCATATTATCTCTCAGGGTTCATATGATGATTAAATGAGATGACCACAAAGTACTCAGCATGGGGACTGACACCTAGAATGTACTTAATATTAACATCATTAATGTTCATATTAATATTATTAAAAATAGTCCCATATAAACAGCCTCTAAAAAGTAAAAACTATGCCCTGGCTGGTGTGGCTCAGTGGTTTGAGCATTGTCCCATGCACAAAAAGGACACTGTTGGATTCCCAGTCAGGACACATGCCTGGGTTTCAGGCTCAATCCCCAGTGGGGGGCCTGCAGGAAGCAGCAGATCGATGTTTCTCTCACATCAATGTTTTTCTCTCTCTCCTACTCCCTTCCCCTCACTCTAAAATCAAGAAAAACTTTTTTTTTTTTTTTGAAAAGTAAAAACTATGAAAGTGAGAAGACAAGGGTTTTCCATGAGACTACCACCCTGACCTGACCCAGTGGTAATGCCTGAGCATATGGCATCCCTCATTGGCCAGAGGTTGGTAAATGTTTAACCCCTCAGTCAGCACCTTCTGCCACTGGTCTACCTTTAGAAAGATTTTGAGAGACTCAAGCCAATTTTAATATTAAGCCCCAATTTTTAAACATGATGAATAGTACAGTTTAACATCCAAAATAATTTGCTGATGAATCTGGCCTCTTTCATATTAGCTGTGACTCTGCTTTTCTTGTGACATAATCAAGAAATGTCTGCCCACAAGGTAACGGGTTCAAAATCATAATACAATCTCTTCTTTTCTTGAAGAAAGAAGACGGATAAAGTCACTGCTCCCTAAACTATCCTGTGGCGTCAAACCCAGCACACACACCACGCGAAGGAAACGAGTGGTCGGGGGACAGCCAGCACGGGTGGTAAGCCTGCACCACAGCCCTACGCTCCTTCCTTCCCAGCAACAGCGAGTGTGGGGGACAGGGCTGGCGGGGTACGCAACTATGAGACTGGGAGTCTTGCAATGGAAATATCTTAGAACCATCTGTTTGTAGAAGAGCAGTGACCACACAAATGTCTTTACAGGGAGACTTCCCGTGGCAGCTGGCACTTAGGGAAGATGAGAGATTCAACTGTGGAGGAATTTATATCGGTGGCTGCTGGGTTCTGACTGCTGCTCACTGTGTCAGGTAAAATGTGTCTCCAATAGATTGTGGATTTCCTGAAACAATGAAAATGAATGCTAGAGGTTGTGACAGATGATAAACAAAAATATATTTGAGAGTCCAGCCATTGTGGCTCAGTGGCTGAGTGTCGACCCAGGCACCGAGAGGTCGCTGGTTCAATTCCCAGTCAGGGCACATGCCCAAGCTGTGGGCCCAATCCCCAGTGGGGGGCATGCAGGAGGTAGCCAATCGATGTTCTCTCTCATTGATGTTTCTCTCTCTCTCACTTTCTCTCTCTCTCAAATCAATAAGGAAAAAAATGTTTTAAAATATATCTGAGAAAAGTCATTCAGTTCCACTCGACTGACTGCTAAATACCCTCTGACGTCAATCCCCCAAAACCTACTGTGTGCCCCACGGGCCAAATTGTTGATCCCTGCTGGCAAGGGCAGATCAAACTTGTAGGTACCAAGTTACTTCACTTGGCTCATTTGCATGGTGGGAAAGTAAGTTGGTACTACCTACATTTATCTCCTCCTTTGACAGGGTTTTGAGATTCTCAGGTCAGAGAAGTTGGGGTAGGCATACTGTGTCTAGATTCAACATTAGCATATGACAAAAGATGTCTCATAATTACATACAGATTGGAAATATAATTTCGATGCAGGACCAATAAGGCATAAGTGTCTGTATTCATTTGAGAGGGCTGCCACAACTAAATACACAGAGTAGGGGACTTAAACAACTGATACTACGTCTTTTCTCAGTCTGGAGGCTGGAAGTTCAAGATCAAGATATTGGTAGGGATGGTTTCCCCTTGGCTTGCAGATAGCTGCCTTCTTGCTGTGTCCTCACATGGCCTTTTCTCCACAAGCCTGTATTCCTGAAGTCTCTTTCTGGTTTTGTAAGGAGACCAGTCATATTGGATAAGAGCTTCACTCCTATGACCTCATTTAACCTTAGTTAAACCTCTTTAAAGGCCCTAGCTCCAAACACATCCAGTCACACTGGGGATTAGGGCTTCGACACATGAATTTTGGGGGGACACAGTTTAGTTCGTAATAGTGACTGCAAGAAAATATCAAAAAGGTATTGATACTGAATAAAGGTCTTCTTGGAAGAGGACAGAGTTTGGGATTTGGGCCTCTGTTCTGATTCTTAGAATGAATTAAATATTTACCAAGCACCTCTTGCAGCCAAATCCTGTGCCTGGCACTTTCACATATGTCATTTTGTTTTAATAACCCCACATTTCTAAGACGTAAATGTTACTCTTCCCATTATATAGATAAGCAGACGGAGACTGAGAAGTTCCATGACTTGGCTGAAGCTACACTACCTGTCAGTAGCAGAGCCAGGATAAAATCAAGGTCAACATCTCTGACAGTAACTTAGTTGAAGGCCTACTTAACAAATCTGAAGATGACCCAAAGTTGAGAGGGATAAGAGACATGTTGATTGATTAAATATGTTGGGTGATAAAGATCCTCATGGGTTGGAACAATGTGCCCAAATATAATTTCTTCCAGAATGACCCTTTTCTCTTGGCTTCTGTGATACACATACTCCTGGTTTTCTCCCGTTCTCTGTAGAGGCCACACCTACCCTGTCTTTCTGCAGCTTCCCCTTCTGTGATTGGGCACTATTGCTCCAGTGCAATTCTCGAGTTGTCCAATCGTTAGCCTGCGTTCCCCTTCTCTTCTTACCTCTCTCCTTAAAGTTAACTGTGCTGTATGCTGAAACAATGCTATATGCTGACACAATGATCTCTCCAGGCTGCATCTTTCCTCCAACCACTGACTGTCTACAGTCAACTATCAATACTTCTTGGATATATTAAAAGTACACTGAATTCAAAATCCCTAAGACTGAGCTCATCCTATCCCCTTGCCCCAAATATGGTTCTGTCCCAGTGTTTCCTATCTCAGCAAATGACAACGCCATTCATCTAGTGACACAAGACAGAAATCTAAGCATCATCACAATTCACTCCCTCCACCCTACCACAGTCCTGCCAATTTATCACCAACTCTCAGTGGCACTTTTTTAATTTTATTTTTTCTAGGTGGCATTTTTAATTTCTAATTATTTAATTCTCAAAACTTCCATCTCCATGATTACCCTGCTTTTGCCTCTCATCTAGATTATACCAACTGCCTCCTAATTGGCTTACCTACACTGACTCTGCCTACCTCCTCCCCCATCTATCCATTCTCTACTATGTGTCAAGAGCAGTATTTCCATACCTGGTTTTAATCACTTATTTCTTAAAATTCAATGGCTTTGCATTCCTCTTAGGATTAAAAAATAATAAACAAAAATATAGCATGGCCCATTAGGCCCCATATGATCTGAGCCCTACTTACCTTGGTCAAACTCAACTTGCCCAACAGCTTCCTTCTCTCTGCTCCACCCCCTCTGGACTCCCTTCAGCTGCTCAGTGTACCTCCCTCCCTGCTGCAGAGACCATCAAATGCTGTTTCCTCTGCCTTGTTTCCCTGGTTACTGCAACTCATTATTCAGATCTCAGCCTAATCTTCACTTTCTCTGAGAACCTTCCCTGACTCCCTTAAGTCAGAGAAACCCTCTTGATAACTTATTAGAACCCATGTGCTTTCATGCCTCTCACTTTTCACAACAGAACACATATCTTCATTGGTGTGATTATCTTTTTAATGCTACATCTTTTCCTAAACCCTGAGCTCCTTGAAGGCAGAAACTATTTCTGAATTTGCTCATTTCTGTATCCCAATGGCTACCACAGTGCCTGGTATATAGCATTTACTAAGTATTTATTTAGTAAATTGAATGCATGAACAGGGTTAACTTTTCACCAGTATTCAGGACCTCTGATCCTGAAACACAACCGAAATTAATATGAAGAACATTCTTGGAACACAAAGCATTAAATAAAAGGATCCCGAATACCTCATTAGCTCCCAGGACATTACTGTTTAAGGTGATTACCTAAGAAAAATGATGGTAGGTGCCCAATTTGCTGGAAACCAAGAGGTGAAAATTGGTATGAAATGGAGTGAGACATAAGAACAGGCAATATTTAGCTCATTCACTCTTTCAACCAGATTTTAAAACAGCTACTGTGTTCTCTGCACAATACTAGGCATGGGCATCTATCCATAGATTAATACGACCCCATTTTTTACTTCAAGGCTGTGAGCCAATAAATATAATGCAATGTTACGATGAAGTCTTAAAGATCGGGATAACGGCTGCTGTGGTCTTCGCTCTGAGAACCTCTGGAGTTCTCACTCGGAGAGTGTGTGCTCTGACCCCTCATTTGTGGCTAGATACTGTCTGGTTTCTGCAAACACCTTCAATGGCGGTGCTCTCACTTGTGGGCATCTCTGGTGGTTAGCAAATTCTTTATGCCCCTGATATTGAGTAGTTAGATGGATTATTTCTCTCTCTTTGAAGATTTTTTAAAATTTATTTTTAGAGAGAGAGGAAGGGAAAGGGAGAGGTAGAAACATTAATATGAAAGCGAAACATCGACAGACTGCCTCCTGCACACCCCCTACCAGGGATGGAGCCTGAAACCCAGGCATGTGCCCTGACAGGGAATCAAACCAGCTACCAGCCAGGGCTATTCCTCTCTTCATTTACCCGCTGACTTTAACACTGCCCTTAAACTTAATCACATTGCTTTATGACAGCAAAGATAAGAAAAGAAATCTGGGAAAGTTAAAAATGTTCTTTGGAAGGGAGAATATAAAGATGAAGCATCAGAAGTTCATGTTTTAGTTGTTTTTTTCTTAACATATTTTATTTTCCTTTTTCTTTTTTAGAGCCAGTAAAATTCACCGTTACCAAATATGGGTATCATTAATAGACTGGATAAGTTTTAACAGGGAGATAACTGTTCAGGGGGTCAATAAAATTATTGTCCACGAAAACTACAATGGAGCCACCTTCCAAAATGACATAGCTTTGATTGAAATGAAAAAACGTCGAAACCAAAAAGAGTGTGTGCTGCCTACAACCGTCCCTGCCTGTGTTCCCTGGTCTCCACATTTATTCCAACCTAATCATAAATGCATCATTTCTGGCTGGGGCCGAGAAAGAGGTATTTTTGTATATATTTTACAATTTGTTCTTCAGTACCTAGGGGTTGAAAATAAATGGTAATAGAAATGCATAGGGACTAATCTCCTAGTGCTCAGAGAACATAGCATCAAATCTAGAAAGTGAACACCCAGCTAGGCTGGCTCCAGCGCGTGGACCTGTGCCGCTGCCGAGCATGCTGGGCCCCAAGGTGCCCATGCTTGGTTCACTGCTCTGCTGTCACCATCATGAAATTCTTAGTAATTTTTGCAAGGAACCCACCTCACATCTTTATTTTTCTCTGGCCTTCACAAATCATGTAGCCAAGCCTGATTTGGCTTTTCAAGGACACCTACACTCTGTGATCCTAAAGCATACATTGACGGGTAACCATTTACCAAGAAAAAGAATACTGACGGGACATACAGCATGCTTTGGGATTTGTTGGAGAGATTTGGATGGAGGATAAACAGGTTTCTGAAGGGATAGTCAAAGTGTATGCTGAATCAGTGATCCCACAACCCTCTGCTCTATGTCCTCCCCCTCCCCCACTCTCCATGACCAACACCCCCACATCCCGCAAAGAAAAAGAAAATATAAAAAATTCATTTGTTCAGCCTCTATGATTTGAGATGAACATTCATATGAGTAAAAGATGTGGACACTCCTGGGAAAATTATTAGAAAGACCTGCTAAATGAGAGGTTAGATTAGAATTAAATTATCCAATGTGTTTTTTTCAGCTTGAAGAGTTAGCCTTGAAATTTAGCTTCCTTCTGACCTCTTAAACTCTCTTTGTAAATAACTTCATTGCACTGGTTTTATAGACTTATTTTGTAATACATCCTTTACAACTGCCACATTGAAAAGTATAAAATATGTATGAATTAACCTGGATTTGTGGTATGCTTGAATACCCAAGACTTACAAAATACTAAATTTTATTAGTAATTAATTCACCCAGAAGCATTATGTCTTTACATTTGTTGTGTTTCAAAAAACAAAAACAAAAACAAAAACATTTAAGTTTATTTATAAATATACACAAAAGTAGAGGAAAGTACTTATTCATCATCCATTTTCCACAGTTATCAAAATTCTACCGTTCTTATTTTATCTCTCAGAATCAATCACTATTTCAATAGGATGATTAGGAAGGTTTATTTATAAAGGGGTTAATTACAAAGATATGGGTGTAGGGTTGGGAAGCCACAAGGGCTCTGCGGAAACCCAGTGCTAACAGTACCAGAACTGACATCTCTCTTAGATGGGAAGGTGAAAGGGAAGGAGAGCTACCAGGAGAAAGAGCCTTAGGTATAGCAGGCTGCCTTAAGAGAAGCAATGACCTTGAGTTGAAGGTTATAGCCAGCCCCAATCTTGCTAGCTTCTCTCCGTCTCTTCCTCCCTTCTGCTGGGGTCTTTTGCTGGCAACCAGCTGGAAACCAGAGGCTAAGGCATTCCCACTGAAGTATCCCTTATCTCCAGGTCCGCCTCTTGGGGCAGGGACCAGGCCACTGAAGGGTCAAGAATGGATCTGTAGGACAATCAGGAGATGTTCAATATATTCCCAACACATACTTATTTTTTTCCTGGAATATAATAAATCAAATCCCAGATATCATATAATTTCATTAATGAATACTCTAGTAAGTATCTTTACCAGGTAAAGACTTAAAAACAAAACAAACAAACAAAAAAGACCCCACTACTTTCCATACTCAACAACGTGGTCATCTAATAACCAGCTGTGTTTAATATTCCTCAATTATTTACAATATATGTTTTACAATCAGATTATTTCCATTGGGAACTAAACAAAGTCCACATGTTGCTCTTGGTGGCTTTTTTTAAAAAAATCTCTTTTAATCTAGATCAGTTACTCCTCTCTTTTACTTAAATGTATTTATTAAAGAAACTGGGTCATTCTTATTTTAGAATTCCCATACCTTGAATTTATCTGATTGTGGAATTTAACATGTTCTTTTATTCCATGTATTTTCTATAAATGGTAGACACGTCCTTATACATTGATTTATTTATTAATGAAAAAATTAACCATAAAAAGTGGTTCAACGCTTTTATTGAGCCCTTACTATGAATACAAGGCAGTAATATTAAAGTGCTAGGATTTCACTCATGAAAAATAGGGATCCAATAAAAAAACAGGGGGTGCAGAGGCTACAGGTTGAAAGACAAAGGCAGGAATGCTACCTTCAGACAGCAAATGTGACAAGTGCCTCAAGAACGATATAAAACAAGAGTTCAGGGGAGGGAGCAACTCCTGGGTTATTAAAAAATTCTTCCCTGGTACAGCAGCTCTTGGTTTTTAAAGGCTTCTTCTGAGTTAGGAGAAACAGTACATTATTAATTTTCAAAAAGCTCTTATTCTGAGGAAGGTAGCCATCTCGAGACTAACTTGAAGTAGGACCTAAAGGAGAAAAAAAGATTCTTTCCAGATATGCCATATACTTTGGTGGATTTTTGTCTCCCTCTGCTTCCCAGAAGAGAATATTAGTTCTGCCGTTAACTACTGTGTGCTCACTGCAGTGCTAGGATCTGTGGGGTTGTCCTCTCAGGACAAGCCAGAGATCTCTGTCCCCAGAGAGTTTATAGATTAACTGAGAAGGTAAGTCATTTGGCATAAGGCATTTAGTATATAATTAAATTACTGAGTTCCTGGATTAATTAATTATATACATTTTTATTAAGCTAGCATGAAGCTCGGAGCTGGTGCAGCAGTGAATGAGTCAAGCCTGGGCCCTGCCCTCCTAGAACACAAAAGTTGCTGCAAACTGGGTAAAAGGAGGAGAGATAGACAAAGACTCACTCTTTATACCTGAGACATCTCACCCTGTGTTCTTAGGTTTCGCTCACCTTCCCTGGACTGTCGATCAGCAGCAGGACCTGGTCCTTCTTTTTCCTTGGACCCAAAATGTTCAAGTCCCAAACCTCTCACTTAAATGGGAAGGAAATCCTGAGGCCTCTTTCAATCACTTTCAGATCACTTGGGCGAGGGAGCTCCTCACAGACACGCAAAACCACACACACACCGATAACTTCGTGTATTTTATTTTAACTTCTTACATTAAAAAATTGTTTTCACTCTTACAAGTGCTTTCAAGGAAATAAGAGACTATAAGAAAATAGGAGCTATTTAGGTGAGAAGACCCTGATCCCTGATCCCTACCCAACTCCCCCGCTGGGCAAGGCAGACAGAGGGAAGGAGTTAGTCTCATTCAGCTCAGAGCACCCAGCTCTAGATTTAGCTAGTGTGACTTCAGAATGCCCCTTGACTAGTTTTGAGAAAGACAAATATAAAACTGGAGCTATGAGCAGTGTATGATTAAATACACTAAGAAGTGATCTTCAATAGTTTTTATATGTATTTAAAAATATATGTATGCTTCTATCTTCCTAATGGTTTACTAAACTATGAGACTATTTATTTAGATTTCTCACTTGTGACTTTTAAATGTCTATTCATTTTCTCACTTTGTTTAGATAACCAGAAAGTCTTTTCACTTAAATGGGGTGAAGTTCACCTAATCGGTAACTGTTCTGAGTTTTACCCTGGTCGGTACTATGAAAAAGAAATGGTCTGCGCAGGTAAGTACTAAGTGGTTTCTCTGACATATTTTTATACATACTCTCTAACAAATGTGTCTCCTGCCCCCCACCAAATTAGCCCCCTTGCTCTGGGCTCCGAACCCTTCCATCTGTCCTTCTGGCTGTTGCATTATCTAAGTCTTTCAGTCCCTTCCCCTTAGTTCACATTTCCTTATCTACTACTAAGAGGGAAATCTTCCTTCAGCTATTATACAGCAGTGTAGCAAGGTGACTAAGAGCACAGACCCTGGAACCAGACTGCCTGGACTTCCTTCCCTGTTTTTGCCCATTAGGACTCATGAGACCTTGAGCAAATTTCCTTATCTGCAAAACTGGGGGTCTTTTTTTTTTTGTTATCCTCACTCAAGGACATTTTTCCATTCTTTGTTCATATAGAGCAGGAGGGAGAGAGAGAGAGAGAAACATCGATGTGAAGGGACACATCGAGTGGCTGCCACCTGCACGACCAACCAGGGCCGGGGACAAACTGCAACCGAGGTACGTGCCCTTAGCGGGAACCGAACCCGGGTCTCTCTGTACCGCAGGCCGACGCTCCAACCGCTGAGCCAAACCGGCCAGGGCAAAAACTGGGGGTCTTAACAGAGGAAGACACTGAGATGCAGAGCAGTTACATAATTGGCCCAAAGTCTTCCAGACAAGAAGTGGTATATATAGGATTTAAACCCAACCTTCTTTTAAATAAAAATCCAAATGATCTTATTGCAAATGCATCCTGTTGGATTTAAATTCTCCCTCCTTGGAAATCCCACTGCACGTCTTACAATACCTGCTTCTGTCTCCTTTGCTATCATAGTGATGCCAGTGCCCCTACCTAATGCAATTCAGCAGTTCCTACGTTGAGTAGTGACCCAAAAGCAGGGTGCCAGCCAGCTGGTGCATTTATGATGTTTTATTAAAACCACCTACAAGTATTGTGAGGCCAGCATAATTCTAATTCCAAAACCAGAAAAAGACACTACAAAGAATGAAAACTACAGGCCAATATCCCTGATGAACATAGACACCAAAATCCTGAACAAAATACTAGCAAATCGGATCCAGCAATACATCAAAAAAATTATTCATCATGACCAAGTGGGATTCATCCCAGGGATGCAAGGCTGGTGCAATATTCACAAATCAATAAATGTGATACACCACATAAACAAAATGAAGAATAAAAACCACATGATCATATCAATAGATGCTGAAAAAGCATTCGACAAAATCCAGCATCCATTTCTGATAAAAATGCTCAGCAACGTGGGAATAGAGGGATCACATCTTGACATAATAAAGGCCATATATGAAAGACCTACAGCCAACATCATACTCAATGGGCAAAAACTAAAAGCATTTCCCTAAGAACAGGAATGAGACAGGGATGCCCACTTTCACCACTTTTATTTAACATAGTACTGGAAGTCTTAGCCACAGCAATCAGACGTGAAGTAAAAATAAAAGGGATCCAAATTGGAAAGGAGGAAGTGAAACTGTCATTATTCGCAGATGACATGGTACTCTACGTAGAAAACCCAAAAGACTCCATCAAAAATGTACTAGACTTAATAAATGAATTTAGCAAAGTAGCAGGATGCAAAATTAACATCAAGAAATTGACGGCATTCTTATACACCAATGATGAAATCACAGAAAGAGAAACTGAAAAAACAATCCCATTTACCATTGCGGCAAAAAAATTACAGTACCAGGAATAAACTTAACCAAAGAAGCAAAGGACCTATTTGCAGAACACTACAGGATATTGAAAAAATAAGTAGAGGAAGATATAAAAATGTGGAAGCACATACCTTGTTCATGGATTGGAAGAATTAACATCATTAAAATGTCCATATTACCCAAAGCAATCTATAGATTCAATGCAATCCCCATCAAAATGCCAATGATGTATTTCACAGAACTAGAACAAATACTTCAAAAGTTTATATGGAACCAAAAAAGACACCAAATAGCCACAGCAATCTTGAAAAAGAAAGACAAAGTAGGTAGGATCACAATACCAGATATCAAGTTATACTACAAAGCTAATGTAATCCAAACAGCCTTGCCCTGGCCAGTTTGGCTCAGCTGTTAGAGCGTTGGCCTGTGGTCTGGAGAGACCGGGTTTGGTCCCCACTAAGGGAATGTACCTCAGTTGCAGTTAGTCCCCGGTCCTGGTTGGGTTGTGTGGGTGGCAGCCACACAATGTGTTTCTTTCATGTAGATGTTTCTCTCTCTCTCTCTTCCTCTCTCTCCCTCCTGCTCTATCTGAATAAAAAGAATGGAAAAAATGTCCTCGGGTGAGGATAAACAAAACAGAACAGCCTAGTACTGGCACAAGAACAGGCATATAGATGAGTGGAACAGAACAGAGAACCCAGAAATGGACCCAAGGCAATATGCTCAATTAATATTTGACAAAGGAGGCAAGAGCATACAATGGAGTAAAGAGAGCCTCTTTAATAAATGGTGTTGGGAAAACTGGACAGCTACATGCAAAAAAATGAAACTAGACCATCAATTTACACCATACACAAAAATATACTCAAAATGGATAAAAGACTTAAATGTGACCCATGAATCCATAAAAATCCTAGAAGAAACTGTAGGCAACAAAATTTCAGACATCATACGCAGCAGAATTTCACTGATACATCACCTAAGGCAACAGAAACAAAGGAGAAAATGAACACATGGGACTACATCAAACTCAAAAGCTTCTGCACAGCAAAAGAAACAATCATCAAAATGGAAAGTCTGCCCACTGTATGGGAAAGCATCATTGCCAATGATACATCAGATAAGGGGTTAATTTCCAAAATATATAGAGTACTCATACAACTCAACAAAAGGAAGACAAAGAACCCAATTAGAAAATGGGCAGAGGAGCTGAATGGACACCTCTCCAAACAGGTCATACAAATGTCCAAGAGACATATGAAGAAATGCTCAACATCACTAATCAGCAGAGAGATGCAAATTAAAACAACAATGAGGTATCACCTCACACCTGTCAGAATGGCTGCCATCAACAAATCATCAGACAACAAATGTTGGCGAGGGTGTGGAGAAAAGGGGACTCTAGTACACTACTGGTGGGAATGCAGACTGGTGCAGCCATTATGGAAAATAATATTGTGTTACCTCAAAAAATTAAAAATTGAACTGCCATTTGACCCAGTGATCCCACTTCTAGGAATATATCCTAAGAAGCCTGAAACACCAATCAGGAAGAATATATGTACCCCCATGTTCATAGCAGCACTATTTACAATAGCTAAGATCTGGAAACAGCCCAAGTGTCCATCAGTAGACAAATGGATAAAAAAGCAGTGGTACATATACACAATGGAATACTATGCAGCTGTAAAAAAGAAAGATCTCTTATCCTTTGAGACGACATGGAGGGACCTAGAAAGTATTATCCTAAGCGAAACAAGCCAAGCAGGAAAAAACAAATACCACATGATCTCACTTATTTGTGGAATATAATGAACATAACAGTTTGAGGAATAGGGTAGACCCAGAGATGTGGAAGTAGGGTACAGACTGACAACCCTCAGATGAGGGAGTGGTGAGGGGAGGGAAGAGATAAACCACAGAACTTATATGCATGTATGCATAACCAATGGACATAGACAACAAAGCTAGGGATGGGGTGGGGAATGGGGAGGAGAGAGTCAATGGGGAAAAGAAGGAGAAACATCTGTAACAAAAAATAAATAAATAAATAAAACCACCTACAAGTAGTGTATTACAGAAAAAGGCAGTTTTTGACATCCTATAAATTCTTGGATACAGTGATTTAAAAACCTTAGAAAGTCATATGAGTGAGGAGAAAGTAAACAGACCATTTCCCGTGGCCTCCCATCTTAAAACAGAGCTCAGGGCTACAGAGAGCACACAGGGAGCACAGCACACAATCCACCTGCTCTGAGGTCTGGCTGCCTAAACCCCATTCTGCTGCTTCTTAGCTGTATGATTCTAGACAGGAAGTTACTATTTATAACTCCTCTATACCTTCTGTGCCTCATCGTTACCTCACAGGGTTGTGGTGAGGATTAAAGCGATGAATGACTAATGCATAGAAGCACTCAGTAAGCGCCAGGCATTCCTATGATTTTCCCACTCGTCATCTGCCGCCTCTTTCGGAACGCAGCCTCATCACAGTATATCCCTACCAAAGCAGAGAAAGCAGGGACAGCCCTTGCGAAATCTAGAGAATGAGGAGAAGAAAAAGTATTTTCCCAACCGCACCCCACATCTCCGTGGGCCCTGCAGACCCTGCAAGGGAGCGCAGTGGCCATTTCCCTTTAGGAAAGTGAGGGCGCGGAGTCCTTAGGCTCATCGGTGGAAGAGGCAGGAAGGCTGCATGGTGTCCCTGGCACATGTAGGTAAATGTGGTATTTTCTTTCTCCTTTGTCTTCCTCAGGTACAGAAGACGGCTCCATTGATGCCTGTAAAGGGGACTCTGGAGGTCCCTTGGTCTGTCAGGATGCCAACAACGTGACTTATATTTGGGGTATTGTGAGCTGGGGTGATAACTGTGGAAATCCAAATTTCCCAGGCGTTTACACCAAAGTGGCTAATTATTTTGACTGGATTAGCCATCATGTGGGAAGGTCTCTTATTTCTCAGTACAATGTATAAAACTGCGATATAAAGCTGTGATCTCCTTCTTTCTACTCATTTTCTCTCGGGTTCCATTTTAATTGAAAAGGTACTTACTGCATCATTAGTACTTCTCTAGGATGAAAATAAAACAGATTTTATTGGATATTTTTAAGTTTCTACAATGTTTATGCCATATTGGAATTTTGCTGTATAATTCTCAAATAAACATTTTAGTCCCACATTAAAGTTTTATTTATTAGAAATGTGAGTCAAGTCTCTCCACAGAGGAGTGATATGTTGACAATACTAACGGTCAAGCAGTTGAGTGATGCTGGTGTCTCATAAGCTTCCTTTCAAACCCTTATCCTACCACCCACCATGGACTTGAACCTGGGCAATGTATTATCTACTTTGTGTCTTACTGTCCATCTTTAAAATCAAAACTCGAATTTTGAGAAAATAAACTACATACTGAAAGATTTGGCACAGTACCCGTCACAGGGAAATAGCTGACCTCACAGCTTTTGCCTCCTTTCTCTGCTTAAGAATTAAAAATTCTTGCCCTGGCCGGTTTGGCTCAGCGGTTGGAGCGTCGGCCTGCGGTACAGAGAGACCCGGGTTCGGTTCCCGCTAAGGGCATGCAGTTTGTCCCCGGCCCTGGTTGGTTGTGCGGGTGGCAGCCCCTCGATGCGTCCCTTCACATCAATGTTTCTCTCTCTCTCTCTTCCTCTCTCTCCCTCCCACTCTATCTGTACAAAAAATGGAAAAATGTCCTCGGGTGAGGATTAAAAAAAAAAAATTAAAAATTCTTGAAAAATGTGTCGTTAGTCCCTCCTGCACACGTTCTCCTTTGCCCTTTCTTTAAACCTCTCCACAGACTGCACAACACAAGTCCTGACCTCCTTGGTATCAACCCTCAGGGCATCACACTCTTCTCCCTGGGGGCTGGGCTCAGCCTCCTTCCCAGCCTCTTCCTTCTGGTCAGTTCTCTCCCGTTGCACTTCCCCTGGTGACCTCATCTAGACTCAGCTTTAAATCCCACTCACAGCCCAATGATCCATATCTGCATCTCCAGCCGTGACCTTCCCTAGAACTCCAGACTTGTATCTCCACCTGGATACCTCATAGCATTTCAAAAGAAACACCGCCACCCCAAACATCTATTCCTTCTTAAACCTGTCCCCCCCCCCCCCTTAGTAAAGGTACCAGCATCCACTCAGGGCTCCCCTGTGGACACAGTGTACAGTAGGCACCCAATCTCTATCACAGGCCTCAACATAGCACTTGTCATTACCCAACATATTGTTTTATGTTTGTCTACCTCTTCCCATCACACTGTTAAGACACGTGAAGAGACAGACCGTCTTGTGTTCCTTCTGTCTGTACCCCTATCACTTGGTTCATAAAAGATGCTCAGTGAATAAACATTAGCTGATCTTACTATTATTTTTATTGATTGATGAGAGAGAGAGAGAGAGAGAGAGAGAGAGAGAGAGAGAGACATTGATTTGTTGTTTCACTCATTTATGCATTCATTGGTTGATTCTTGTATGTACCCTGACTGCAACCTTGGTATACTGGATACTGCTCTAACAGAGCTACCTGGCCAGGGCCTATTATTATTATTTTTAAGCACAGCTGTCATGATCCTGAAGGAGGAGATATGTTTTTCACATAAATATTACCTTCAATTCCTGGGGTCCAGTCCTGGATAGAGCCCAACTGTTTTGATAATAGAAATGCCTGTTTCTACATATATTCCAAAATTGGTTACTGCCCCAATTTTTTTTTCTTTTTAAAAATTTTGGTAAAATATGCATAAAAATTTTTACCATTTTTCATCCTCACCCGAGGATATATATTTTTTCTATTTAGCTTCGCATACAGTGGGAGAGAAAGGGAGAGAGAAACATCCACGCGAGAGGGGCACATTGACTGGTTGCCTCCCGTACAACCCCCTGGGGACAGATTGCAACCAAGGTACGTGCCCTTGGCCGAAATAGACCCCAAGACCAATTGGTCCACAGGCCAATGCTCTACCGCTGAGCCAAACTGGCCAGGGCCCATTTTAACCATTTTGAACTATACAGTCAGTGGCATTAAGTACATTCACATTGTTGTGCAATGTTCTTCATCTCTAGAAATTTTTTACCTTCCCCAAATGAAATTCTGTGCCATTAAACACAACTCCTCTTCTCCCATGCTGCCCAGATTTTTAATTCCTTTAGCCATTGAATGCCAGAGAGTATTTGGTTATCCATGGCCATGTAAGAAAGAATCCTAAAGCAGTCATTTAAATAACAATGGTTTATTATTTGCTCTGTGCCTGGGGATTGGCTTGGCTCAGCTGGGCAGCTCTTGCACCCTTTCATGCAGCAGCTGTCTCACAGGGCTGCTGCAAGGGTCATCTCCAAGGCTTCTTATGTGTCTGGTGCCTGGGCTGGGAGGACTCAGCTGGGGCTTTCCAGACCTCTTCTCTATGTGTTCTCTCCACATGCGACTCGGAGTCTCCCAATTTCTTATGTAGCACCTAACAGCTGTCTCAGGAGAACCTACAGAATCTGCACAGCCTTTATAAAACTAACCCTGGGAGTCATTTAGCCTTCCACCACAAAGACCTGACCTGGTTCAAGGGGAGGAAATATAAGTAATCTCTTTAAAAAAAAAATTTATTGCCCTTGCTGGTTGGCTCATCGGTTGAAGCATCGGCCCGAGGACCAAAGGGTCATGGGTTTAATTCCTGGTCAAGGGCACATATCTTGGTTGCAGGTTCAATCCCCAGCCCCAGTCGGGGTCGTGCAGGAGGCAACCAATCAATGTGTCTCTCTCACATCTCTCTCTTTCTCCCTGCCTCCCCCCCCCCGCCCCCGCCCCACTCTATCTAAAAATCAATGGAAAAATATCCTCAGGTGAGGATAAAAAGTAAAATAAAAATATGTATATATTTTTATTGATTTTTGGAGAGGAAGGGAGGAGAGAAACATAGATTCAAGAGTAAAGCAATTGGCTGCCAGCCCGAAACCCAGGCACATGCCTTGACCGGGAATTGAACCAGCAACCTTTAGGTTCGGGGGATGATGCCCACCACGCCACACTGGCCAGGGCTATAATTCATCTCTTGATGGGAGGGGTATCAAAGAATTTGTTGCATGTTTTAAAGCCACCACCTTGTCTCGATCCAGCAAACCTGGAACATGTGGCATCCTGGAAAATATCTGTGTATGAGACAAAAAGTACTAAGAGCTGCAAGCTGGGAAACCCAGCACATATGGGCACCCTCAGCTGACCTAGGAAGGAACGTCACTGTGGCCCCTTGAAAGATCAAGCCAGTCTGCACAGTAACCTGGGACCTGGAGTGAAGAGCCAGCTTCTCTGTAGTGACTCCATGTGGCAGAGACCAGGAACAGCAGGAGTGGGATGACCTAGCTACAGGGCTCTCCCAGTTTAGAGGTCTAGGTGAGAGCTCTTAGTTGCAGAAGCCAATCTCATTAGTTTAATGAAAAAATTGGTTTACCCAAAGATACTATGCAATTCACAGAATCTCCAGGAAAGCCAGAGAATTGGAGGCTATGCATCTAGGAATCAATGTCCAAAGACTGTAGGACTACTCCCACTGCTACTATCAGGTCCCAGGCACTAGGTGCAGATTGTGCTGCAGAGGCTGGGCACTGCTGCCTGACCTCTGCTACCACCGCTTCTGTGAATTAGCATGGTCTTCCCTGATCATGGTCAACGAACAGAGCTCACTAAATGTGGAGCTCTGCCATCATCTCATACTTAATCCTGGCCTCAGAGTTCACTGTCTTACAAGGGAGACAGAAAAAGAAATTATACAGCTATACTTTGCTAAGTATAAGGGTGAAGACAACTCAAAGATTTCATAAATCAGCCTGAAGTGTCAAAGAAGGCTTCCCCAGAGGTGACCATAATCTGAATTATGAAAAACTTGCCAGGCGGATGCAAGTGCAAAGGCCCTGTGGCTTAAGGAGCCAACCATTCAAGGGAACAGAGAGCAGTTCAGTGACACTGGAGCCCAGGGTGTAGCTAAGGAGCTGGAGAGGGAGAAAAGGCCAGATGGAGGGAGGGTCTCATGACACACAGTTGGCACCACTGAAGGACTTTGGAAAGTTTACCCTGGAGGCATTGAGGAAGATGGACTGGAGGAGGGTGAGCTGGGGTAGGGAAGCGAGTCAAGAGAATATTGGAGTAATCCAAATGAAAAGCAATGAAGGTAGAAACTAAAGTGGGGTATTTTTTTTTTAATCCTCACCCAAGGACATTTTTCCACTTTTTGTTCAGAAAGAGTGGGAGAGAGAGAGAGGAAGAGGGAGAGAGAGAAACATCGATGTGAAAGGGACACATCGAGTGGCTGCCACCTGCACCACCCAACCAGGGCCGGGGACAAACTGCAACCAAGGTATGTGCCCTTAGCGTGTTTCTCTGGACCGCAGACCAACGCTCTAACCACTGAGCAAAACTCACCAGGGCTAAAGCAGGGTCCTTTTAAAGAGAATGACTGATTCCAGACATGTTAAGGAGTGAAATAGATGACACGGGGGACAGAAGAGATGACAAGGCACCAAGGAGAGAAATATGAGTCTAGGATAATTCCCAGGTTTTCTCTTGGATAATGATGTGATTGGTGTTTGCCACTGACGAAATAAAGGGAAGAGAGGAACCAAGTAGGTTTAGTTGGGGGTATTGTGAAGCTATGCTCTCTCAGGGAGCCCAGGGAAGATGTATCATATGCAATAGTAACTATAAAGCTGAAAACCAACCAGAGGTTTGGAAGGAGCTAGAAACCCTGTGTAGAGAAACCACACACCTGATGGTCTAAAACCCTGCAATCTCACCTAAGAGGGTTCCTTTCCACTTTCTCTAGTCCTTTCTGTCTGTGTGTGAAGTAACCTCACATTCTCTCCAAAAAGATCACTTGAAAATCTCTCTCTGTGGTTGCTATGGTCTGAATGTTTGTATCCCTCCCAAATTAATGTGTTGAACTCCTAATGCCGGATGTGATGGCATTAGGAAGTGGTGTCTTAGGTATTGAGGATAAAACCCTCATGAATGGGTATAGTGTCTTTATAAAAGAGTCCCCAGAGATCCCACGTTTTCCACCATGTGAGGACACAGCAAGAAGTCAGTAATCTCCAACCCAGAAGAGGGTCCTCCCCAGAAACCAACCACAAATGGCACCCCGATCTTGAATATTTCCAGCCTCCAGAACTGTGAGAAATAAACTTCTGTTTGTAAGCCACCCAGTCTGTGGTATTTTGTCACAGAAGCCCAAATGGACTAAAATGCTACGAAATTTGCCTGATGGTAGACCTTCCCAAGCAGAGAACCATTATCTTCAACCGTGAAACCAACCCATATTGACGCATGTAGTGCAGCCATCACTTGTCCTTCAGTTCAACCCCCACTTGAAAGTTATTCATGCCACTGATGGTTTTCTTAGGCGGAGGCTGGAACCTAGAACTTATTTCCACTTAATCTGAGCCCCTTTCAGAAACTAACCTTCCAGCCTGAGCACTGGGCAAAGATCGACAGTTATGGCTGGAACTGTTTCACCACATGGTATTCATTTTCATCTCAATAACACTGTTGAGATCATTTAGTGAGGAATTGGAAAAGACTAAAAAAATAGAAACTGCCCTTGATTATTTGTATTTTGTTGATTTGGTGTCATTTCAAATAACACAACGGATTACATAATATGCTAGTTTCCAAGTATTCTGAGTTAATATTTTACATTAAACCCACTAAATCTTGCATTCTTACCTCATTAATATAAACATGTTCCATGATGATCCATGTACAATGAAGAGACCATTAGGGACTTCTAGAAGTGTATCCGATTATCCTATAACTGCACTGTATAAAAAACGAAGCCTAGCCCTGGCCGGTTTGGCTCAGCGGTTAGAGCATCGGCCTGCGGTCCTGAGAGACCCAGGTTCGGTTCCCGCTAAGGGCGCGTACCTCGGTTGCAGTCTGTCCCCGGCCCTGGTGGGTTGTGCGGGTGGCAGCCACTCAATGTGTTCCTTTCACATCGATGTTTCTCTCTCTCTCTGTGTTCCTCTCTCTCCCTCCCACTCTACCTGAACAAAAAATGGAAAAATGTCCTCAGGTGAGGATAAAAAAACAAAACAAACAAACAAACAAACAAAACGAAGCCTAGTCTCACCACCCAGAAGATCACATTCCAAGGCATTGATTCAGAAAAGAATCAGCATAAATACAACATATTCTATATTTTCATAATTTTGTTTTGATAATATTGACTGTAATTGCTTTTCCCAATTCTTCTTCCTTTTTCCCGACTACAATTGTGTTTTGTCCCTAGTACTCCACTGAAACTTCTCTTGTGAAGTTCACCAATAATCTCTATGTTACTGAATCCAGTGATCAATATCCAGCCATCCTCTTCCCCATGTGAGCTGATCCCTGTCTCTGTCTGTCTTTGACATACTGGAACACAGCACTCTCCAGTTGCACCGGCCGCTCCTGCTCAGTTTCCTTCACCACATCTCAGTTCTCCGACCTCTTAAGACTTAGACTGTGTTCTGCTTCTCTTTACACACTCACTTTTTAGAGGATTACATCTAGGCCCCTGGCTTTAAAAGCAGTTTTTATGCTGGTGACTTCCAAATTTAAAAAAAATATTTTTTTTGTACAGAGTCCTGGAATTATGTAGCCAGTCCTGTGGTCAATGCCGAACTCTGGTACCTGACAGCGGGAATTAAGAAAAAGTGAATATTGGAATTACTGCAGTAACAACAAATGTCTAATGATTGAATATTAAGAAAATGTGAAAATACAATTTTAAATCTTGTTTCCTGGAAAGATGGTGGTTATTCCCATGGGGAACACAGTGGAAAAGATTTAAGAGTAAAAAAATATAGCACTATGAGCCCAAGGAAATGGAGTTTGAGAATTTAATCCCTAAGGAGAAATGAGACAGAGAAGACTAAGTCTGAGTCCTCAGAACAGAAGCTGTAGTTAAGATATAAGAAATTAGATAAGATCACCGAAGAGCAAATATAGAGAGAAAAGGAAAAAAGGGAGGCCTTCTGTAACTGAGGGATGGAACCAGGTTACGTTACTACATTCTGTCTTTCCTTTTGGGAGACTAATTCCCTACCAGGCAGTTTTTCTGAAGACTGGAAAGAAGCAAGCCTGGTTTAAGGGTTCTGGTAGTGGTGCTATGCAGAACATCAGAACATCTATATTTTAAAGATGAGAAAACCAATACTCCAGAAAGCTGAAGAAGATAATCTTACATATGTTCCCTTTCCGAATGTGTTGAAATGTGCTGTCCAACGTGAAGGAAAACAATCTTTGGCTTCTAGTCAAGGCAGAAAGAGGCTTTGGTTTGACTGGATACTATCCTGACTTCTCCACACCTCTACTCCTTCACTGAAAAAGAAGGATAATGTTGCTGGTTGCATTCCTCATCTTTCTCCACTGTGGTGCAGTTGATCACAGCCCACGGCACCTTGCTGAAGGTCTGAATAAAGCTGGCACCTAAGGTTGGGCTACATCCACCTGCGGAGAGGGGCACCTTTTTCTAACTGGTCCAAAGGCTGCATCTCTGTAAAGCGGTCTCTGAATGTGAGGGATCATGTAGGTCAAGTACATGGCATAGAGTACGCTCTCAATATAGAAGAATGTATTTCTTAACTCCGCACTGCACAAGTATTACAAACTCATGAAGCTTGTTACAAACACAAAACGCCAACGTAGAATTGATCAGCAATTCTTATAGAAAGACGGCGCCTATTCCCAACACTTGCAATACTGCCCTGGATCTTACTGTAAAATCCTTGGAAACTGTCAGGATACTAAGATAACCGGATATTTATAACTCTGGTAAAAATTACTGCATTTGTTATTTAAGGAGACTGCCACAGCGTTGGGGAAAATACAGAGAAACGTCACTGGAGCTATCAAGTTACAAAATATCTTGAGTAGGAAAATAGTTACTTCCATAAGATTTTTTAAAAAACGGCATTCACGTGTTAAGACTGCTTCTTTCTAACCCGGGGAAGAAAACTTAACGCTTTAATGGCTAAACCATTTTCTGCGTCCAGACTGTCTAAAGCAGCACCCAGCTCACCCTCTCCCTCACCCTGGCGAGTCAGGCAGCGCCCCGGCCTTGGAGCTCCCGACCTCCCAAACCGCAGACGCCCAGGCCGGAGGACCGGCGAGGACCCGGCGAGCACCCGCGTGAGGGCCGGCTCCGCCCACGTCTCCGCGCGGAATTACATTTTCAAACCGAAACCCAGCTGGACCCCTCGCAGCGATCTCTGCGAGGCTCTCTACACATCAGATGTCTTCACGGGGGCTCTCCATCGGCGGCACCCTACCACCTCCCCCGGAGCTCTTAAAAAAGACCGAAGCCCACTGCCTCCCAGAACTCAGTCAGTGGGGGAGCTGGGGGGGTAGGAGCACTTAGTACGGCCGGTCACGCAGTACTAACTGAACCGGGACGCAGGACGTCCGGGACCTGCCGCACGACCACGTGGGCGTGGACACCGCCGCGCCCGCAGCCGCCCCGCGCTCGCCCCTCCCTCGCCTCGCGGACGCCCCTCGCTCCGGCGCAGGCGCACAGGCGCACCGCCCCCCGCGGGAGCACAGGGACGGCGGCGGGGGCCCGCCCCCCGGCCCGGCAGGAGGCGTGGGCGGGGAACTGGCCTCGGCCGTGGGCGCCCCGGCGGCTCTGTGGGCGCGCGCGCGTCGCGCGGCTCCGGGGACCGGTGGGTCCCGACGCGGCTGGGCGTTGCGCGGATGGCCCTGCTCCCGTGGCCCGCGCTCGCTCTCCTCCTCGTCGTCCTGACCGCCGCGCTCAGGTGCCAGGAACAGGCCCAGTCCACCGACTGGAGGGCCACGCTGAAGACCATCCGGAACGGCGTTCACAAGATCGACACGTACCTGAACGCCGCCTTGGACCTGCTGGGAGGCGAGGACGGGCTCTGCCAGTATAAGTGCAGCGACGGTGAGAGGGGCCCGCGCTGCCTGCGCTGCTGGGGTCGGAGGGCGTGGAGTGTGGATGCGGGCCGACCTCGGGCGTGGGAACACCCGATCACCGCTAGAATGTTGCCATTGTCACTGAGCCCCCTGGTTAAGGTCGCACCTCTGTTTAGTTGGAATGTGAGAGGTCGTCTCAGTGTGTACCCTCCGCTCTGCTTCGGGCTTCTGTTGTTGGCTTGCAGTTGCACATGGTTGCCTAAGAACTTAGTGCCGGATGCATCCCGGGAGTGGAGTGGAACACACTAATTTTAGCTCTATAATTTAGCTTCTTAAGTAAGTCGCTGACCATGCAATACATTGTGAGAATTTTAAAGTCACGATGGCTTAACTTTCTCAAGAATTGGATTTAATTTTCTTTTTTCTGCAGAGCTACAGAAAATAAATTGCGACCCTTGTACAGACTTTTGGAGTCCTCTATTGTCGAGAAAGAGTTCCAATAACTCCTCTAAAAAATTACTCTATCAAGACTTGACAGTACTTTGTTTTCTTTCCTTAGATATCAGTGACGCCTTCTCATTGTTGGTTAATATTAATGTAATTGTTTTGATTCATGTTTTCACATTTGTTAACTTATGCTTGAATCTGAGAACTTGTTTGGTAGTATTCTTGGTAACAATAAACTCAGTATTTCGGGCAGAGATCGTTCTTGTAATAGTTCAGATGAAGTACTTGGGCTTCTCCTCTTTGGAAATTCAAAATTCCAGTAAGAGTAAACAAGGTCTGGGCCTAGTTAATGATTGACAGCTCAAAACAGGGAGCACAATAACTTTAATGGTGAAACCAGATTGTATGTCGGTGAATTTAAAAGGAACCTGTCATATAAAACTCTGATGCCACCTGCTGCCTGTAATTCTCAAAATATTTTCTAGTTTTATGTTAATGGAGTTAAGAATGAGCTATATCTTACATGCTATGAAGTTGTAAATGTTTCATTCCTTCCTAAATTTTTGCCTAAATGTTACCACCATTATGCAATCAGGTAAGATGTTTTTGTCGTTGGAGAGCTTGTTAGGAGGAATAAGTAAATAATTTGAGGATAAATTGGTTGCCTTTCCTCAGGCAGATGTCATAGTTTTACTTAGTCATCCCCATTAATTATACAAATATTTGAGTGCTTGTTGTGTGTTAGATGTTCTGCCAGTTGGAGATTCAGCATTGAACAAAACAGACAAATTTCTGTCCATGTGGTTTACATTCTGGTGGGGAGAGACAGTAAACTAATGAACACATAAAATAAGCAGTGTATGTAGGTCTGAAGTGCTTCAAGAACAATAAAGCAGAGAAAACACTAGTGGCAGTGTTGAGAGGGAGTTTGCTCTTTTAAATTGGTTGTTCAGTGAAATCCTCATTGATAATATGTGAAAAGAAATTGGAAAATGGAGAAGGTAATGATCTGAGGAAAGAACACCCCAGGCAGAGGAACAGCAAGTGTAAAGGACCTGAGGAGAAAGGCCAGTCAAAGATCACTGAAGGTTTTAGCCTGAGCCACAGAAGGATGCAGTTGCCATTTACAGAGATAAGAAACCTTGGAAGGAGTAAGGCTTCATAAACTTATTATGTATGAGTCAAGGGTTCTAGAGTTTATGTGTATTTAAAATAGCTCTGAAGTTGAATGGATACTCTTTCTATTTAAGAGATTAGTTTAATCTTTCCTTTTCCTTAGTCTTTTTTTTTTTTAATCCTTCCACAAGTCTAACTAAATTTACCATTTAGAGTTTAGAACATCTTCAATATAAAAACAAGTGAACGTGATAATGTAGGAAGTGATATGCTTCAGTGAAAACCCTTTTGTGTCTTAGTAAGTTCTGTCTGCATAGGACTGTGGTTCTAAGTCACCACATTGATAATTCCAATATAATGAAAATTGTTCTTTAATTGCAATTACTTAAAGAAGTCTCCCTGGAACACTGTTTCAACCTTTCCTATATTCTGGAATGCAAGTGACCAAATCAGAACCAAACAGAAACAGACAAATCCCAAAGCTAGAGGAGCATGGTGTTAAAAAGTATTTAAATAGTCACAATAAAGAGGTCAAGATTTAATGGTAGTGAGGGGGTGGTCAGTTTAAAGGGCACAGACTTGTTGCATACAGTTATCCTTGTTTTATAGAAAGGACTGGCATTACAGAGACTTGCTCGTCTGGCCATCCTCTCTAGGGTGGGGACAAGGCTTTATTGAGAGTGAGTTAATGTTATTTAGAGGACAAATGTGATGGTCATTTTTTTTTTCTTCTTCTTCTTTTTCTCTCCTGGACAGCAGAGCAGATTTGAGGAAGAAAATGTTTCAGTTTCCTTTGAAAAATAGAAAGCAAAATTGGTTTGTACAATATTTGTATAGAATTATGAATAAGTCATTAATTCAGTGATTTATATTTCAACAGGATCCCTTTGACTATTGTGCTGGGAGTAAGAAGGGTCGAGGGCGGTCGGGGAGTAAGAATGGCGGCAGTGTGACAGGACTAGGAGTTCAGACAAGAGAGGGTGGTAGTTTTGTCCAGGTTAGTAGTAATAAAGGTGGTGAGAAGTGGTTGAATTTTGGACTTATTTTGAAGGAAGAGACTAAAGGATTTGCTAATGACTTAGGAGGATGTGAGTAGAGTCAAATATGATTCCGAAATTTTAGGCCTGAACAACTAGAAAGATTGAGTTGCCATTAACTGAAATGGGGAAGACTATGGAAAAAAACAATTTTGGGGTCATTAATAAAAAATAACAGCATATTTATAGGCTTTGGAGAATGATTCAGTAGAGAGTAAAACAAATAAATGCATAGAATAAAAGAGAGAGGAAGGAGAATCCTTGGAGTCATGTCGTTAGGTTCTAGTTTGTAGATAGAGAGATTGGCCAAGAGCACAGAGGCACAGTCCTGGTAATAGGAACAGAGGTAGAGGATATGGCACAGAGCCATTTAGCTGGGTAGATGCTTAAGTTCTCTTCCGATTTCCTCAGTTTTCTCTGAAGTAGAAATCAAGGTCCTCGGCTGAAAGGAAGAGTAGATGGGAATTGAAGTGTTAGAAATTTGAGGAAAATAGGAAGTGGGTGGACTAGAAAAATAAAGTCGCATAAGGGCCCAATGGAAATGAATAATCATGAATTTAAAGTCTCCAGTGTTTGGGAAAGGCAGTTTAGATTTTCCACGGTTTTCTACAGAACAGTGCTAAGATTTTTGTGTGATCCAAGAGCCTTCCCTTATGTGTCTCATCTGCTTCACTGTCTTTCAGGTGAAAGAAATTGGTCTGTTTGGAAGTATTAACATCAAATTAAGAAAAGTCTGTAGAAAATAACTATTGTTGCCTCAGACCAAGCAAATCTTTAGATTTCGCTGTCCATACGGGTGATAAAGCATAAAGCATCAAGAAAGGAGGAGTTTCTTATGTCCAAAAGTGAAATCAGGGATGGGGGAGGGGGTGAGGCAGGAAGAGATAAACCAAATAACTTATTTGCATATATGCATAACCAGTGGACACAGAAAATAATATGGGGAAGGCAGGAGGGAGTTGGGAGGGGGTCAGTGGGATGAAAAAGGGGGAACATCTGTAATACTCTCAACAATAAAGATTTTAAAAAAGGAAAAAAAAGTGAAAACAATGAATAGTTTTTCCATGTAGTTGTGTCCAGTGGATTTGTTTTGTTTTTGAAATTCTTCTTCCCATCTAATTTTTCCCTCTGCTTTCTGTATCTGCTTACAAATTTTAGGGGACAGTGGCCCCAATACATTATGGCTTTGGTTGAACTCTGATGTTGTTTCTTCTGTTACTGAGTTTCTGCTTGCTTTGTGTAGTAGTCTGCTCAGGTTGCCATAACAGAATACCTTAGACTGGAATTTATTTCGTACAGCTCTGGAGGCTGGGAAATCTAAGATTAGGGGTTGGCCAACACTGTTGTATGTTCCTGACTTGCAGACGGCTGCCTTCTTGCTGTGGGCATTGGGAGGGCAGGAGCGGGGAGCAAGTTTTCTGGTATCTCTTCTTACAAGGGCACTAATTCCCTTATCAGGGCTCCTGTCTCTCATGACCTCATCTAAACCTAATTACCTTCCAAAAGCCCCATCCCCAAATGCATTGGGGGGGGAGGGTGGCTTCCACAAAGGATTTGTTGGGTTGGGGGTGGAGGGATACACAGTTCAGTTCACATAGCACTTTGCAAAAACTGCCACGAGTAGAAAATTTAATTTTCTTCATGTTTAGCAGCTTATAACACCATTTATAACACCATTTTAAATGATATTAATACATTTGTAATTATGGTATCTCTTTCAACTTAATCTTTAATAAACAACTTTCTAAATAACTTGCTTGATTCAGAAATATTTTAATTTAAAGGTGAATTTAGAACATCTGAACACTTTAAAATATTTCGGAAATGAATTACTTCCAAGTTTTCTGGGGGTGTTGTTATTGTTATTGCTTGTTTGCTGCTTCTGTGGATAAAGGATGTTTTAATTTTAGCCTGGCTGGTGTAGCTCAGTAGATTGAGTATTGTCCCATGGACTGAGAGGTCTCAGTTTGAGTCCCGGTCAGGGCACATGCCTGGGTTGCGGGTTGATTCCCAGTAGGGGTCGTGCAGGAGGCAGCCAATGGATGTTTCTCTCTCACATCCATGTTTTTATCTCTCTCTCTTCCTCTGCCTCTAAAAAAAATCAATAAAAAACATTTTTATCAAAAAAAGAATATTTTAATTTTAGCAAGGAGTGTTTTCCATTTTTTTCATCCAGTAATTTCTTGGGTGCCCACTATGTGCATCTTCTGGGTGAGCAAGACAAAGTTCCTCTCCTTATAGAAACGGACTAATTATGTTAATTTGGTCAATAAATGTTAGAAGGAAGAATAAATCCAACCAAGATGTATGGAATGTATATGGAAGCAAGGGGCACTATTTTATTTTATTTTGTTTTTGTTTTGTTTTAATTCTCACCTGAGGATATATTTTCCATTTGTCTTCAGATAGAGTGGGAGCAGGGGGAGAGAGAGACACATCGATTGGTTGCCTTCCTCACGACCCCAGCTAGGGCCAAAATGAACCACAACCGAGGTACGTGCCCTTGGCTAGAATGGAAGCTGCGACTCTGAGCTGCGGGCCTTCGCTCTAACCAATGAGCCAAACCGGCCAGGGCAAGGGGCACTATTTTATATTTATTTATTGTTTGTTTGTTTGTTTGTTTGTTTTGTTTTTTTATCCTCACTCGAGGACATTTTTTCGTTTTTTTTGTTCAGATAGAGTAGGAGGGAGAGAGAGGAAGAGAGAGAGAGAAACATTGACATGAAAGGGACACATCAAGTGGTTGCCACCCGCATGACCCAACCAGGGCCGGGGACAAACCACAACCCATAAGGGCACTATTTTAGATGGAGCGAGCAGGGAAGGCCTCTCTGAGGAAAAGACATCAGCAGTTTCCTTCAAAGGAAACAAAAACCAAATGCATACCCCTTTGCTACTTATACTGGGGAGCCAATTTACCACATTTATCTCATGGTGGTGGTATCCAGTATTTCACGTATACTGGAACTTGGTTTTTTATTTTCCATTTTCTCAACTTCCCTCCTTAGGGCAGTTCTAAGCACTGTTTGAGACAACCACCTCCTCCCTCCTCCTTCCTCCATTTCTCATTTTTGCTGGCTATATCTGTTTCTCTTTATTCTTCTATTGTGGGCATGTTTTATTTTTTTTCCCCCTGACTTCATTTATGTCTCATTCTCTTGTTCAAAGTTTTTTCCTGTCATGTCTTAGCACTGAGACACAGCTGAAACATAGGCTAACTGTCCTGTGCTGTATTAATACAAGTACTTTATCCAGCTCAAAATAGGTCCATACCTAATGTTGTTCAGTTTGTCATTTTAAAGAGATGTGACAAACTAGAAGTGATCACTCTTTGGAGACTAATGAATGTTCACCAAACTCAAAAGAGACTGAAGAATGAACAGTAGTACCAGTTTGTCTAGTTATAATGAGTACTATAACCGCCTTGGAGATTAGCCTTCCAAGTCTTCTGCTCGTTCGTTCGTTCATTCATTTATTCATTCAGTCATCAACAGATATTTATTGAGAATCTAACCATATGCCAGGCAATGTTCTAGACATTGGGGGTACAAAACAGGCAAAATTCCTGCCCTCAAGGAGTTTATATTTTAGTTTGTGGAGGAGATAATAGATGAAATAAGTAGGTTAATGATATATAGTATGTTAGGAGGTTATAATGTCCTACAAATGGTATGGTCAAAGAAGGCCTTGCTGAGAAGGTGAAGGAGAAGCAGTACTCTATCAGGAGGAAGACCATTCACATAGAACAGGGGTAGGGAATGTCCGGCCCGTGGCATTTAAGGCCAGCAAAATCAATACCAGCTAACATCACACACCTCGCCATATTAGCCTGACCAAATAGAGCAGTTGATAACTTTGTATGGCCTTCAAATGATGTTATAAATATCCAAGTGGCCCTTGGCAGAGAAAAGTTCCCCACCTTGAAGAGGAACAGTAGGTTCAATGGCACTATGGTACCTGGAGTGTCTGGAACAGCAGAGTCAGATATAATGGAATGGTGAGAAGGAAGAAGAGAGAGAATGATAAAGACATGAGGACAGCGAAGTCACGGTGTGGGGGGCAGATTTACATAGGGCTTATAGATATTAAAAGGACTTTGGCTTTTATTCTGAATATAATGAGAAACCATTGGTAGGGTTTGGGCAGAGAAAAAACTCCATCTGACATATTTTAGTAGAATCGTTGAGGTTCATTGTTGATATTGGACTATAGCTGGAGGTGGGATGAGGTGGGGAAACTAGAGCAGGGAGACTAGTGAGGTTATGGCAATAGTCCAGGGTGGCTTGGAGCAGGATGGTAGCAGTGGAGGTGGTGAGGAGTTAGATTTTTAATATTTTGAAGGTAGGATCAACAAGACATACTGTTGAATTGGATGTGGGATGTAAGAACACGAGGGAGTCAAAGATGGCTAAGGTTTTTTCCCTGAGCACTTGAAGGGTGGAGTTGGTATTACTTGAGAAGAAGTAACTGTGAATGGAACAGGTTTGGGGGTGATGTTAGAAGGTACATCTTAAGTTTGAGGTGCCCATTAGACATTTAATATGGTTAGTATATCCTCATCTGTAGGTCCTTTTAAGGGGCTAGTATATCCTCATCTGTAGGTCCTTTTAAGGGGAAAGCCAAAACATAAACAGTTTTCTTAAGAATGAAAGACTAAAAAGAGAAGTTAAGGGTTACAGAGACTTGTCTGTGACAGCCTCAGGCATCAATCTTCATCCTCCAAGGGCTCAGACACAACCCTCCTGGAAAGTGCTGGAAAAAGAAGACCAACTTCTGTCATTGGCCTCCTCTTTTCTCGGCCTATCATAACCATTCCCTCTGTATACACTGTTCTTCACATTCAGTGGAGCAGGCTATAGCTTTCTACCTTCATGAAGTTGTACACTTCTTGTGGCTATACGTGGTCACCTCAGTTGAGCATGATAGTCTTAGCAATGCATTTAAACCAATTTTAGATCATTACTTTGAATGAGTTACTTACTTTTTAAAAGATTTTATTTCATCCTCATCCGAGGATATTTTTCCACTAATTTTTAGATAGAGTGGGAAAGAGGAAGGTGGGGAGAGAAACATCTGTGTGTGAGAGAGACATCAATTGGTTGCCTCCTGCACGACCCTGACCAGGGCTGGGGATCGAACCGCAACTGAGGTAACGTGCCCTTGACTGGAATGGATCTCATGACTCTTTATTCTGCAGGCCAACACTCTAACCACTGAACAAAACCAGGGGAAGTGGTTACTTTGATGACTGATTGCTAGAAGGGTTGCCCTCCCCCCACTTTATTTTAGAAGGTAAACTTATCTTTAGGTCTCCTAGTAATAAATGTCAGTTGAATGAAAGTTAGTGAAATACTTTGTGTTTCTTCCAAGTATCCAACTATGGAGTGGTATTTGAAATAATGGGGGATATTTTATTTTAGAAGTCAAGATAAATGGTAACCCCAAATGTTTAAAAGCATTACCATGTAAAACAGGGAATTGGCTTGTTTGGTGTTCCCCAGGGCACAGAGGATTGCTTACAGGTAGAATTTACAAGAAAACAGAAGAACTTACCAGTTAGTGCCATTGCACAGTGGAATAGGCTATTTCTTGATAGTGTAGCAAGATTGTGGGAACATTCAAAGAGAAAGTGTGTGACTGATTTGTCTAAATGATTTCTGTATTATTATGAAAGGAGAGAGATTTCTCAAGTACCTTCTGACTTTTTAAGTACTTATTTAAGATGAATGATCCTGTCATCTTTCACCTTGTTACTGAACCATTGGTGCTGTTAGGGAGAGTGTGGAGTGATATAGTGCACCCAGCATATTCCTGATGTTTTTCCTTAGCTGGCTAAGGAGTATGTTTGTGAAAGGATTGGCTGGAGTCTGGGCTAGAATGTGTAGTCCTATAAGGTCATATAATGTTATACAGATCTTATGTTAGGGTAGGGTAGACCCCCTTATCTGCAGTTTCGCTTTCTGCAATTTAGTTAACCTCTGTTAACTGCTGTCTGAACATTTTAAGTGGAAAATTCCAGAAACAAACAGTTCATATGTTATAAAATGCATGCCATTCTGACTACCTCACTTAATCTCATCACATAGGCATTGTATCATCCCTCACATCATCACAAGGAGAAGGGTGAGTACAGTGCAGTAAGGTGTTTTGAGAGACTATATTTGTATGCCGTTTAATACAGCATATTGTTATAATTGCTCTACTTTATTATTGCTAACCACATACTGTATATAACTTATAAATTATACTGTATTATAGGTGTTTATGCATTGGAAAAAAACATAGTATATATAGTATTATCTGTGGTTTCGGGCATCCACTGGGGGGTCCATAAGGGGAGACTACTGTAGTAAGTGATCATTCGATGACCATGTCTTCCTTACCTTTAGGGTCTAGCTTAGTAACTGGTTGGTTAATGGTTTTTGAGATTTGTGTACAATACAGCATTGGCTGAAGGATAGGAAAATACAGTTCTTGCCCGATAGGTTTTAACCTAAAAATATAAGTGTTAGCCCTGGCCTGCGTGGCTCAGTTGGTTGGAGCATTGTCCTGTACACCGAAAGGCTGAGGGTTCAGTTTCCCAGGCAGGACACATACCCAGATTGCAGGTTCGATCTCCGGTCGGGCCACATACGGGAGGCAATTGTTCACTCACACATTGATGTTTCACTCTCTCTCCCTCTCCCTTCCTCTCCCTCTAAAGTCAATAAAAGCATGTCCTTGGGTGAGGATTAAAAATGTGTGTGTGTGTGTGTGTACACATTTGTACATAATTCCCCGCAGGAGAAATAAAAATAAGTAGGTAGACAAATTAGCATTCTTAATGCTCATCGGAATAAAGACATTCACTTATGTCAGCATCCAAATATTAAGTATTTCCAAGGCTAGTCTAGCACATTGTAGACCCTTTTGCATGTGTATTTTCTATCATATTTGAAAATTAATTATGATGCCATTTATATTTTGTAGGATCTAAGCCTTTCCCACGTTACGGTTTTAAACCCTCCCCGCCGAATGGATGTGGCTCTCCACTGTTTGGTGTTCATGTAAATATTATTTTTTATTTGATAAGTCTTATGATTATTAGGCTATGTAATCCTCTTGATCATGCAAGACTATCAATGTGTTCTCAGGTTCACAAATAATTTTGCTTGTTGTAATAGTGATCAGGTTTATTATATTATTTTATAGCTAAAAAACATTAAATCCTAACAAAATTAATTGTAGTAAAATTCATGTTTTATTTTTAATCTCATAGATGTTAATACCATTTAAATGATATTTTCTCATGTCACAGATAGGGTTTAATATAGGAGTAATACTACTTAAGATGAAAATGTATAGATATACCATAATATTTTCTATATTAAAAGTAGGCTAACAGAGGGGAAAAAAACAAAAAGGAAAAACCCACTAGGCTGAGTGGGATAGTGTGTTTGTGGTAAGGGAAGCTGGATCTGAGCCTGGTGTTATGGGGGAAAAAAGTTTATGAGAGTGATTCCTAGATACAAAGGTTTTGCATATAAAGTTATTTAAAGATAAACTTATAGATTCAAAGGAACAGTATCTTTAGGGATTGGATGAACACTTAAAGATTAAACCTTAAAACAACAAACAAAATTTGAATTGTAGGAGCTTAAAAATTTTCACTGACATTTCATATAAAGGACATTTTTATTGAGGGAGGAGGTACAAAATACTTTGGGATATCCAAAAATCATACTTGCTCAGCCCCTGGAGAACTCTTTCAATGATCTTAGCTTTACCTTTCTGTTTCTAAAACTATGTTTTGTGCTTTGGACAATTGGAAGTTGTGTTTGTTACCACCAGGTAACTGAATTTTCTAACATTGCCAAACAGGGAACTTGGAGGCTTGGCTGAGAGGGAGGTTACAGAGTGATGTGGGTGGGTGCAGAGTCATGGAGAGATACATAAAATGGAAAGCATTTGTAGGCAGCAGTGGATTTTCGAAATTATACGGTAGTCATTGTCTTTGATTTCTCATTGATATTTGGATGCAGAACTTCAGCAGAGGAGTTTTGATTTTCATCAGTTATAATCCATCCAAATGCCTCTTTCAGCTTAATATCGGCATCCCTTCCCTGACAAAGTGCTGCAACAACCACGACAGGTGCTATGAGACCTGTGGCGAAAGCAAGAACGACTGTGATGAGGAGTTCCAGTACTGCCTCTCCAAGATCTGCCGAGAGGTGCAGAAAACACTAGGACTAGCTCAGCATGTTCAGGGTGAGGATGATCCAGCGGGACAGGGATGAGTGCTATTTATAACGTTTTATTGAATGCCTTATGTTTTAGTATAGGATTTACCAATAGAAATCTTTCACTCTATATTCCATGATGTAACACAGCACCTTCAGTTTTCTGAGATGAGGACTTGATGATTTTGTAATCTTAAATGATTTCTAGTCATGAAAGCAAAAAGTGTTAGTTAGGGAACCTTGGGAGGAGAGAAGTGAGGCAGAGAAGAATTCATGCAAGATCTTGCAAACCCGGGATCCAGTAAATTAAGAGTAGAGCACATTGCCTTGGCCAGTTTGGCTCAGTGGTTAGAGTGTCAGCCTATAGATCGAAGATTGCAGGTTCGATTCCTGGTCAAGGGCATGTACCTTGGTTGCATGTTCGATTTCTGGCCCCTGTTGAGGTCATGCAGGAGGAAACTAGTCGATGTGTCTCCCTCATGTTGATGTTTCTTTCTCTTTTTCTCTCTCTCTCCCTCCCTTCATTCTACTCAGAATATCAATGGAAAAATATCCTTGAGTGAGGATTAACAACAACAACAAAAAAGAGTGGAGCACACTGGATTTAGAGTAGGTAGTTCCAGAAGATTTGAGTCTTAACTCTGTCTCTTCATATGTATCTGTGTTAGGAGGGTCCCCCAAACCAGCTCCAGGTTCAGTGGTTTGCTCGGAGGACTCAGGATTCAGCATATAGTCACACTCATGGTGATGATTATTACAGTGAAGGGATATGAGGCAAAAATTAGCAAAGGGAAAAGGCACTTCACTGTCTCATTTGTAAACGGGAATGGTAACACCCCTCTCAGAGAGCTGTCAGAAGGGTGAAATGAGATACTTCTGGAAATTCACATCACTGAACAATTATTGTCAGTTACAAGATTTCTTTACTGTCAAGCCAAGGAATGTACCATGTACTGAAAACTGAAGAGGAAGGGCAATGAGAAGGGGTGCAAAAGGAAACTCACATTTTTAAGCACTTTGCATAACAAACAGACTGTGCTAAATACTTTAGACATGTTTTCATTGATGTTTACAAAATTCCAAAGAAGTAGGTGCCTTTATACCCATTTACAAGGAAGGAAACTGAGGTTCAGAAAGAATTAACTTGCCTCAAGTTAAATACTTCTGACCCTAAATTTTGTGTTCTATCTAAAGAAACTTCTGCCCCAGGTGAAGCTTGAACTCCCCACCTCTGAATCCCCTTGCATGCTTTCAGCTAAGGTAAACTTGCACAGCTGAAGCAGAGGCGGATGTATTTCCTGTTTCTTGATCTGAGGTCATACTAATATAGCTAGTGATGAAACCAAATTCCTTGCCATCTTTTATTTAATAATCATAGCCTTTATACTTCTGTGGTTGGTTGTGTTCCTTAATGGCATGGTCTTTTGGAGAATTTTGATAATGTCAAGATTTTGCAGTGAAAAGTTTCTTAACATGAATGTTTGAAACTGGAAATAATGTACAACTAAAAGCCACTCTGTGCTATCTCTCTACGTATAATGTATTAAAATAATCTCAACTGGGTGTTCCAAAGTAAATCCATTATCTTTTTTTATAGTCTAAAAAAAGTTTTTTAACCCTATCAGAGGAAAAACACCTTAGATTCGTATGTCTCCACTTCCAAGCTAAATTTGGATATTGGTTAAAGAGACTTGGTTCCATTTACTTTAAGCATCCTAAATGATATGTGATCAGTTCTTAGAAACCATTGGCCAGAATGAAATGTTTTGAGGTTTCTCTATTTTTAACCTTTATTTTTTCTGCACCTAAAAATATTTCCTTGAAATGCAAATGTAAGAGTGTTATCAGGCATCTCTAACAGTGATATTTTTCAGATAAAAGGAAAATTATCCCTGGTCAGTTGATTGGAGTGTAGTCCCGTATACCAAAAGGTTGCAGGGTTTTATTTTCATTTTAATTTAATTTAATTTTTTCCATTGATTTAGAGAGAATGGAAGGGAAGGAGGGAGGGAGGGAGGTGAGAGTGACACGCACACGTAGTTGCCTCCTGCAGGTGCCCCAACCAGGTGGGGATCGAACCTGCAACCCAGGTATGTGCCCTTGATTGGGAATCAAACCCGAGACCCTTCAGTGCCAGGGCTGATGCTGTAACTATTGAGCCACACTGGCCAGGGCAAGGTCGCAGGTTTGATTTCCAGTCAGGGCACATACCTAGGTTTTGGGTTTGATCCCTGGTCCAGGAACATTCAAGAGTCAACCAATCAATGTCTGTCTGTCTGTCTGTCTCTCTCTCTCTTCCTTTATCCCTTTCTCTCTCTCTAAAAATTAATAAACATATCCTGAGGTAAGAATTGAAATAAGTAATTATTAAAGAAAATTAACAGTGATGAACTGATTGATCAGTGCTGTTGAGAAAGACTCGTTTGTCTAGTACAGAAAATTGGTTGACCAGTAGTATGCAAACAAAAAGTGGATACATGGTGAAGAGGCTGAAACAAAGTCTTTGCATATAGAGATATATGTTACTGGTTTGCGGGGGCTGGGGAGGATTTTCACCTAGCACATGTTTTAGTGCCCACAAAGGCTTGCTTGACACTGCTGGAACATGTGATATGTGTGAAGAGAGAGCGATGCTTTGCAGTTGCCCCACAGTAATGGCACTTTCTTACTTTGCAGCGTGTGAAACAGCAGTGGAGCTCTTATTTGACAGTGTTCTACATTTAGGCTGTAAACCATACCTGGACAGCCAACGAGCCGCATGTAGGTGTCGCTACGAAGAAAAAACTGATCTTTAAAGAAGATGCTGACAGGTGTGACAGCAGATGAGGATGAAAGAACATGACCTTTGGCAAAGAACTAATGTTTTTACAGCACAAAGTTGCCTTATTTTTGTGAAAAGATTATTGTAAGACCTTATTTTGACATTAAAACCTCAAACTAAAGCCCTAGCCAGTATGGCTTAGTTGGCTGAATGTGTCCCGAGCACCAAAAAGCCACCAGTTGATTCCCAGTCAGGGCACATACCCAGGTTGCAGCTTCAGTCCCTGGTTGGAATGCCACAGGAGGCAGCCAGTTGATGTTTTTCTCTCATTCTCTTTCTCTCTGTCTCCCCCTCTCCCTCTCTCTCTAAAATCAATAAAAACATATTTTAAACAAAACAAAACAAAAAGACTTTAAACTAAAGTAAAAGTTGGGAAGGTTATCATCCTGGATGGTGCTGCCTTAGTGTACCAGATTGTCTTATGTCAGAGAGAGGTGCATGTCAAGGTTTTTTTTTTCCAGAGTCTGGCCCGGCTGGTGTGGCTCAGTGGTTGAGCGTTGACCCATGCACCAAGTCAGGGCACATGCCCAGGTTGTGGGCCCAATCCCTAGTGGGGGTCATGCAGGAGGCGGCCAATCGATGTTCTCTCTCATGAATGTTTTTATCTCTCTCCCTTTGTCTCTCTCTCTCAAAATCAATAAAGAAAAAATTTTGAAAGAGTCTGTAATCTGTTTTCACCACCGTATTTACAAAAAAAAAAAAAAATAGATCAAATGTAAAATTCATTATAAGGTATGTTCAACATTATCTTATTTGGAAATATGGGGAGACCTTTCAGAAGTGTATTTGTTTACTATAAAAATTTAAATATACATTTATGCCTGGAAGGATCTGACTTTATTTTTTTCTCTTTTAATTAATACAAAATATGCTGGTTTTCTGAAGCCCATTGAACATATGACTAAGTCACACTTCTGTTAATGTCAGGACTAATTACAGGGACAATGTTTCCATGTTTGTTTTTCTTATAAAATTGGAACCATTAGCTGATGACCTCTTAGGGAGCAAAACCAGGATATGTAGGTATTATATAGTGTGCCTCGAAGGTGATGTGAGCAAAATCAGAAGCATGGCCGCTCCCACTTTATGAACCACTCATATGACAAATGTCATATTTTGCTATAATCTTTGCCTAAATGGAAGAAAGATTAATTTAATGAGACTAATGAGAAGTTATTTAACATACACATCAGAGCATTATATGCTGTTAGGCTTTGGTGTTTATTCCCTAGCTGGCCCCTCATAGTAGACTCTGGGTTATTTTTAAAAGACTAACCTTTCACTAATAGTGGTTTTAATAAAAATTGTCCTTGATATTGTTGTTGTTGTTTTTTGTTGTTGTTTTTTTAAGTCTATAACTGTGGGGTTAAAAGTGATGGAAAAGCAAGTTACAAAGAAATATCTTTTATAGATCTCTCATTTACATGAAAAGTTATTAACATGTTTAAGAGCAAATCCCACAACCTCAGCTGCCTCTAAAAATGTCTGAGTGTTGAAAGCTTTTCAACCCCTTGGAAAGTTCAGCTGTGTTTCTCTACTGTTTTTTGCTTACCACTGGCTGTTGACTTTCCTGAGCCTAGAATCCCAAGACATATATCTTTTGAGTAACCTGTGGCCAAAGTTATTACAACAAACTACTTGTAAAGTCAGATAACTATACCACCAAAAGAAGTGGTTCTTTTGAAGTCATTACAGGCAGAATTTGGAAGAAAGAATATGTCTGGACAGAGGGCAACATTCCTATCTAAACAGCAGGTTCTCAAATAATATCGTTTCATTCAACATCATTGATGGGATGATGTAGAAACTTAACTCTTGTTTATATTAGTTAGCCAGTGGTAAAATTGATTTTGTTATATGATGTTTTGCCTAACGTTGCAGAATCTATTGATGATAAGTGAGGATTTACTGTATATGTCATTGCTGAGAACCTAATAGCTACCCAAGCTGAGATGTGGCAGGTATTCTGCTAAGAGATGTGTCCTCTATTAGACAAAGTAAGTGTATCCCTCCTGGCTAATGGTAAACTAGGTGTGAACCTGAATGGTTGGAACTCAATTGATACTTTTCAGACTTTTTAAAAAGTACAACTTGGTAAGCCATTATCAATATTTAATCTTTATCAATATTCACTATTGAAATACTTGATCAGGTAACTTGAAACTTACAATAAGTTCAGGGACTTTCTTGGCAGCATTTGCTTTCTCAAGAAGACAAACTCAGAATGTCTTTTCAAATATTTATTTCATAAGACCAGACATTGGTGTTCAGCTTGGTCCCTTCCAAACACATCCAAACCCAGCAGAAGGGGCCACAATCTGTGAAACAATGACATCCACAGGGAGATTTTGGCAGGCTCCATACCCTGCTGAGACAGCCAAAATGGTTAAACACAGAAACAAGACCCAAATGAAAGAATGAGAGAATTCTCCAGAAGGGCTAAATGAAATGGAGATAAGCAAGTTATCAGATATAGAATTCAGAGTAATGATTGTAAGAATGCTCAAAAGCATGAGGAAAGATATAGAAACAATGAAAAATGACCAATCAAAAATGAAGATTGACAGCAGAAATAAATAACACATGGGAAGGAATAACTAGCAGATTATAGGAAACTGAGAATTGGATCAGTGAATTAGGAAACAGAGTAAAAAAAAAAAAAAAGAACCAAAAAGAAAAAATTAAAGAACAGGAGATTTGGACTTCTGGTCAAGATGGCAGTGTAGATAAACACGGTATCACCTCCTCCCACAACCACATCAAAGTTACAACTAAACTACAGAACAACCATTATTCAAAACCGCCTGAAATCAAGCTTAATGGAAGTCCTACAACTATGGAATTAAAGAAGCAGCCACACCGAGACTGGTAGGAGGGGTGGAGGCGCGATGGTCTGGTCCCACACCCACGTGTGGCAGATAAAAATCAGGAGGACACCTTGGCTGGGAAGGTCCTCCCTGAGGAGTGAGGGGTCCCTGTCCCACACCAGGCGCCCAGCTCAGGTTTCCAGTGCCAGGAAGAGAATCCACACCACTTCTGGCTGTAAAACCAGCGGGAACTGAGGCTGAAGGAGGCTGAGGCTGCAGCAGCCCCCAGGCAGCTCCTCTTAAAGGGCCGCACACAGACTTATTGGGACTCACTCCCTCCAGGCTCCAGCATAGGGGAGGCAGCTTGAAAGGCACCAGAGACATATGGGGAAGAACTGAGTAGTTTGGCATTGGAGTGAGGAGAGGCAGCTTTCTTCTGGACAGACATGCTGTCAGAGGCCTTTGTTCCTTTGGTGAGACCTTCCCTGGGGTGGCAGACGGCTGCCATATCTGAGACTTCAGCAATCTGGCTCATTCTGTTTGCCCTGCCCTTGCAATTCCCTAAGGCCCCACCCCACTCAACTGTCAGGCCCACCCAAGCTGTTGCCAGTTGCTTTACCATAGGATTAGCCTGTCTTGGATCCTGCTTCAGGTTTTCCTAAATTTTGTCAAGTAAGTAGCATCTGGTCTCAGCTAGCCCCATACTTCTCATTAAGTAATACATAGAAACAAACACAGGAAGGCAGCCAAAAGGAGAAGACAAAGAAATAGATCCCAAATGAAAGAACAGAAAAAAAACTCCAGGAAAAGAACGAAGTGAAATGGAGATAAGCATAATACTGCTTATAAGATTGCTCATTAAATGAACTTAGTGAGGGCCTCAAGAGCATAAAAAAGGAGCAGTCAGAAATGAAGAATGCACAGTCAGAAATGAAGGAGGAACTAACTGAAATAAAGAATAATTTACACAGATTCAATAGCAGAGGAGGTAAAGCCAGGAAGCAAACCATCGATTTGGAATATAAGGAAGTGTAAACTACCAATCTGAACAGCAAAAAGAGAAAAGAATCCAAAAAAATGAGGATAGTGTAAGGAGCCTCTGGGACAACTTCAAGCGTGCCAATATTCGCATCATGGGGGTGCCAGAAGGAGAAGAGAAACAAATCAAAAAACTATTTGAAACAATAATGGCAGAAAACTTTCCTAACTTGGTGAAGGAAACAGACATACAAGTCCAGGAAGCACAGAGAGTCCCAAACAAGATGAACCCTAAGAGGCCCACACCCAGACACATCATCATCAATATGCAAAAGGTTCAAGACAAAGAGAGAATCTTAAAAGCAGCAAGAGAAAAGCAGTTACCTACAAGGGAGTTCCCATAAGGCTGTCAACTGATTTTTCAATAGAAACTTTGCAGGCCAGAAGGGAGTGGCAAGAAATATTCATAGTGATGAAAAGCAAGAACCTACAACCAACATTACTCTATCCTGCAAAGCTGTCATTTAGAATCGACGGCCATATAAAGAGTTTCCCAGATAAGAAAAAGTTAAAGGGTTTCATCACCACCAAACCGTTATTATACAAAATGTTGAAGGGTCTTCTTGAAGAAAAAGATAAAATAAATGAACAAACAAAATGGCAATGAATACATATCTATCGACAATGGAATCTACAAACAAAATGAACACACAGAACAGAAACATTCTCATAGATACAGAGAACATTTTGTTGGTTGCCAGATGGGAGGGGGATTGGGGAGTGGGTGTAAAAGGTGAAGGGATTAAAAAGTACAAACTGGTTGTTAGACTGACAAACCTCAAAGGGAAGGGGGAGTGGGGGCAGGAAGAAATAAACCAAAGAACTTATATGTATATATGCATAACCAATGGACACAGACAACAGTGTGGGGAAAGGCGGGGGGGGGGGGGCGGGAGTGGGGAGGAGGGAATCAATAGGGGGAAAATGAGGAACATCTGTAGTACATTCAACAACAAAGATAAGTTTAAAAAAAAAACTCTAAATTCTATATGACATTTTAGAATTAAATAGAGCTGGGCATTCAGTCAAAACAAATCAAAACAGGAGGTTTAAGAGAGCTGTGGGATGTCATGAAACGTAACAACATCCACATCATAGGAGCACCAGAAGAAGGAAGTGAGCAGGGGTTGGAAAATCTATTTGAAGAAAAGTGGTAGAAAACTTCTCTAACATGGTGAAGGAAAAAGGCATACAAGTTCAGGAAGCACAGAGAGTCCCAAGCAAGAAGAATCCAAAGTGGCCCAACCAGACACATAATAATTAAAGTGCCAAAAATTAAAGATGAAGAATCTTAAAGGCAAGAGAAAAGCAACAAGTTACCTACAAAGGAGCTCCCATAAGGCTGTCAGGTGATTTCTCAACAGAAACACTACAGGCCAGGAGGGAAT